CCTTAGAGCGTGACGTAGGCATACGTCAGAGAGCATAATTTGTTCTGAGAAATGTCTTATAATTGCTGATATCCTCTAAGATTCTTTTAAAATATTGTAGTCCAAATAACATCACGTCTAATCACAAGGCAGAATGATTTCATGACTCAATTTATGAAGACGGGTGTCTGTCCCCAGTAGTAGGCGAATGCCTATAATCAAACCTAGAATAAGATTTGCAGATGACACTGTGAGGCTAATCTGTATCTTCTGTGAAGAAGATTATCCTCCACACTCCAACGAAGTTCATGCACAATCATTTTACAGGCACTTCAAAAGATTATCGCCCACCCAACACATTTGGATTTATGCCAAAAAAACACTGATGGAACGAAATAGGGGAATCGTTTTACATCCTCTGGAAAAGAAACAGTGTATATTAATATAGGCCTGAACTTTGTTGTTGGTGGCACATCAAGTTCGATTGCATGGCGCGGGGAAGTACCTTGCCGTTATCAAGTTCAAGGGTCAACTGTTTTGTATCCCTGACACGTACGTCTCAGTCCCATAGGACGTGCGCTGTTTGTGAGTTCGGAATATGTGTAGCGGGAACCTGACTGGGCTTTCGGAAACCATGCGGAAGTCGGCCTGGTAACCAAGTCCGTTAAGGAGCGCGCGTATTAAAGCTAAAGATAAATATATACCCTAAAAGTTCTAAATCCTCTATTTCATTACTACTGATTTTTCACACACACACACAACGGAGTTTAGGTGGTAAACCAGCATTCTCAAACCCTGAAAATGATATAACCAGAATTTCATAACGAGAAAAAAATCGATGTGGTGATTTCTCTCCTGTGAACATGTTACTATAATAAAAAAAGGAATCATAACATTTTAATTGCGGAACGTTAGCCTGCTGTGTTACTTTTTCGTTGAAAATTTCAATGCTATCTAAGTTTTGACATGAGTCACATGACAATGCAAGTCAATACTGAACATATTCAAAATATGTGGCAATCTTTGAACGCTGGTAGGCCGATCAGCGTTAGAAATAATAAGTAGCACAAAAACAATAACGACTGGAAAGCCAATTTTAGATTGAGCAATTTCAGCAATTTCTTTTCATCTAAAAGTAGCTTACAAAATTGGCTTTCCGGTGATTATTATTTTTGGTGTTACATATTTTTCTAAATATGAAATATAATTTGGGGGGTTTGGGTTTCGTTTTTTTATAACACACCCTGTACCACTTTTCTCGAAGATTTTACACGATGCTTTAGACTGTCATTTACTAACCGTCCAGTTAGGTTTTTTGTGATAATTTGGAAGTTTTGATTATTTTATGTTTGCAAATATTGTATATTCCCCTTAACTTAGATTGAAGTTTCGTACTCAATATATTTTGACAGCAGATGATCGCTTGAAAACTAAATAAACATATACACATAAACATTTAATCAATTACGGCCTGTGCATGGTCTGTTTAGGCAACGCCTCATCCCCCTTGAACAATTTCAACAAGTCACCCCACTGGAAAATCCTGGATCCACCACTGCATTCAAATCGGGTTCCATTGGACCATTCCCATAGTACCTCATTGATCAGACGCACGTCCATTACTTGAATAGAACCACAAAATGTTGATAGTAAATCGAAGTGTAGCCTGTGGTGTCAGAGTCCAACCACGAACAATAATACATGTAAGCCTAGCCTATACATTGTTTTTCGTTATCGTTAAATATTTGGCACTTGAGTAAATTTAGTTCGTGTACATAGACCACATGACCCTTTAACCTTCACTGCTGTTATGATATATTATGGGTGATGAGCAAAGAGCATAATCATGAAACTGTTCGCATACAGTCGCCATTTTTATGGGGCATATAATTATATGTTTCCGCATTGTCCTTCCGTGGGTTGGTGGGTGTGTAGTTGCGTTGAAGTGCGTTTTTTATGGTGTAAATCGATGAAACTCATCATCGGTGAATCGAGGACGGAAACTGTTAGAGTACAAGCAAAGGAAAAGGGAAGAGGAACAAAAGAAAATCCTCAATTTACACCATGAACAAACGTGCCTGGGTATGGGCGGGTGCTAGTGATTATTTTTTTTTCATCCCATAGGGGACGTTGAACAATAGAGGACAATAGGGTCCCCAATCTCCAAGAGGTCCCCAATTTGGAATTGTGTGCAAGACATATGGGAGGTCTTTTTAAAAAGTTCGAGTACAAACAAAAGGGGGACAGTGAAATGACTGATAAAAACGATTTTCCTTTTTCAATTAACGCCAATTTCCACATGAGACGAATTTCCCGAAACTAGGACGAATCGGAATGCTACATTCGCAAATTACACTGGACCAGGTATACAATGTGGAAATTCGAAATCTGAATTTATAACGGAGCCGAACAACATTTTGGAACGAAGTTTAGGTACCTTTCTAAGGAATTTGAAAGTTGCAATTAGTATTTAAGTAAACCGGGAAAACCTATGCTAAATTGTAACGATCATTTTCTTTTTAAAGGAAGTACGAAGAATCCAGCAATCCACCATGGTTTTGAAGACGTATGCGGATTGGGAAAATGCTGTGAAGGCAGCTCGGGTCATCTATGACCACTCACGGGCCAAGATGGTCACTAGAACGAAAGTGGTCAAGAAGTCCAGGAAGACAGCTTTCCTCTCCGTGCTGTCAGCTAAACGTCAATTGGTCAGCAAGTGTTGCGGTGTTTCCCTAGAATCGGATGCCACCTCAACTACGCCAGCCTTGGTCCAGAAGTCACAAACACGACAAAGAAGACATAAATGCAGGTATTTTATAGTCCAACCGTTTTCGATATGTAGGCCTACTATACTGATAAAATCAACGAATCTCAATTAAGACTTAAACATACCTAATTTGCCGTAATATCCACGATCATTGTGTCCAAGTTTATTCATGTTTACTAAATATATATCGAAGGTGTTGGTAAGCTACAGAAAAATCGCAATATGGCTGACATTACATGTAGGTTTCAACTCAATAAGGCAAAGCTGCACTCTAAAAAAGAAGTGTAAATTTATGTTGTGTAAAACTGTTGTGTAAAAAAATTGCGTCATTTCTGCCCAATATTGAGCAAAATGACATTTTCGCTTGTACCTCCTACTTGTGTCAAATGTGCTACACATGTAAAGGGTAAAATAGTACCCAACATTGACTACAAGTCCCTGCAGCACAGGCAAAGAGTTCAAATCATGGTGTTATTACCCAAGCGATGGGTTAAAGAAACTGGATTTACCCCACCGCTGTGTAACAATTATTTCATTGTACACGTTGAAGAGTAGAATTTACCATGACATTAGTAAAATGTTACCACTGTGTGGGGTAAACTGACGCACGTGACAACGTTTACCCAATATTGTGCACGCGTCATCACTCATGTGCAAAATGGCCGCCGCTTGTGAGACCTTCAACAATTTGGGGATTTTGATGACGTGATTTCTTTGTTCCAGGTAAGTCAGTGAAATGAATTTCAGTGTTGTTTCCTCCAAATGGGATGCTGATGTATGAGGATTAAAGGGAATATACATCATTGGCTTTTGCTGTAATTTTCAGAAATGGATGGAATTGGGGGGTTGGAAATATATAGCAAATATAGTTACACTGACTTTTTTGAGGTTTTGGGTTCGAAAATGCTATAAAAACCAAGACTCCATTTAAGAAGAAACAGAGCAGTTTACATATATTGGGGAATTGTAAGGTCAGGGAACCAGTCTAGCTGGCTTGTACCCGTTCATAGGTGTGTAATCGATTGCAAACAAGTGCGATGGTCAACTGGGGCCAGTATTTGAAAAAAAAGCCAGTTTTTTCCAACGCTGATCGGCCGATCAGCGTTGGAAATTGATACAAAAATACCACTTTTCTTGAAAATGACAGTATACCAGGTGCCATGATTTTACAGGATGCTTTACACTGTTATTCACTAACAGTCCAGCAAGGTATTTCAAAATGATTTGGTAGTTTTATTTGTTGACGTTTGCAAATGTTGTATTTTCCCTTTAATATCGGGGAGATTAGAGAAGTAACATGCTTATTTTTTGGACATTTATGTGCAACTTGGACGTCACGGCTCTGCCAACCACGATTCCATGCACATGATGCATACGTTTCATGTACTGTATAGTGAGTGTTCTCAGATCTAGAAACACGGAGTAAAGTGACCGACATTTGGGAATTGTATTTGAATGAGTTGATTGAGGGAAATTCTAACACCCCTGCCCATTATTTAGCCCACGTTCCTCGTAATAGTCCTTATGCATCAGCACCATATTTGGGGAAATATTATCTTATTCATTTTACTGACTTTCCAACCCAGGACTCAGTTATTGAAATCCCTCGCGATTGCTGTCTCTAGCATGCAATTCACATTGCAGAGTTCAAAGTTGAATAAAACCGCAAGGATCAATAACAAAGGTACACAACAACTAATTCAAAAACAACCCAAGTGATGGGTAAATTTAGAACCCAATAGTGCAGGGTAAAAATTTGAACCCAATATCTGGGTAAGAAACTGACACAACACTTGGGTAAAAGGAGGGTTGGGTAAAGATATACCCAATAATTGAGTAAAAAGGGAACATGGTCGTCACATGGGTAAACTTTTTTACCCAACTTTGTTGTGCAAACACGTAACACAATTATGGGTAAAAGTTACACTGAAATGGGTACTTTTCTGCACTTTAGCTAGTGTGTAAAAAAAAGTACACAAGTTGACGACCATGTTCCCTTTTTACTCTCGAAAAGGTAGTAATTTTACCCAATATTGAGCAACTATTTTTTAGAATGTGTAAAATAATCCAGAAACACACAGCGAGTGCACTCTCCCCCTTCCTTTCCTCCTCCGCCTCCCCTTGCCCCTTCCCCCTCCCCCGGCAGCGAAACGCCCCTGAACACCCACTTTAAAAAGCTCAATACATGTATTGGGCAACACAAGTGAAAGTTTGCCCAAATGAAATCAATGTGTTCTATGACCTAAACGTGTTTATGTTTGATGAGTTCCTTTTGTGCTCAAATTGTCATTTTCTGATCAGTAGTTCCAGCCAAGGTTGCAAGACAGACAAAATCCAGATCTTCATTTCTACACCTTTGGCATCAACCATCTCGTTGCAATTGCATCCGTCAACCTCCACCTCAGACCTGAAGGGATTACTACAGGACAAACTTGGGATCGATCCTGAGAAGCAACATTTATTCACCAGAAAGGGTCTTGAGGTAATGTGAGAGACACTGTATCCATATTATCGAATAATGAACCGATTTAGGCCGATTTTGAACCGCAACGGTTTTAGCACTTTCGAGAGCTTGACCACCAACATTTTGCTTACTTTTCTAATTAATCTTTGGCACTGTTGAAAGGCGAGGAAAATTTGCACTTGGAATTTATAGAGAAATACATTATCCGTAACAAAGAAATGCATCTTTTAGACCTTAAGTCCAATTTTCAGACTTTTATAAATTGCAAATCCCATCCCAACTTTACAATTCGAAGTTTTTCCACTAAAAGGAAGTATGGACATTTCATAAATGTAAACGTCACACAAATCTTTCTTTACTTTTTCTTTATTTGCGGAAATCTTTCCCTTTTAGTAATCAGTATTTTTATAGGGCCTAATGTTGTTTTTCAGCTTTGTGATGCCTTGTCCATAACTGATCACGGCATTGAACACGATGCTACCATAGAACTGCGCCTTGTGTCTGGGCTGTTGGGCGGGAGGAAAAAGAACAAAAAATCAGGTAAAGCTGTTTTTTGCGTGTTGGTAGATCTTAATGTGTCTACGTTGCCTTCCTGTATACTGAGTTTTGGGATTTTATAGTAAAATTCGGCTTTTGCAATATCAACAAAACAAAAATTGTCATACATTAAAGACCCACAACAACAAAAATAATACTGCGTGCGAAAATAGTGAAATTACTTTAGTTTCTGAGTTACCGTATGAATCATGCCAGTTTTAAAGGATTGCAAAAGTTGTCAGTTTATTGAAGGAGGAGTCTATCATCTAAGGCTGTGATTTAAATTTTCCTCATGATAGGAAAAGGGCAGAAACCTGAACAAACCCAGTCGAGCCAGCAACCGGTCGTCCCTGCAGCTGAAGAGACCCCTCTTGTACCTCAGACATCCTCTGAAGGTGCCGCGTCAGCAGCTTCAAGTACACCTGTAAAAGCAAGCACTGTAGCAAGCATTGGAGTCATCAACATTCAAAACGTCACTAATAGCCCTATCATATTAGGCAATGTATCTTCAAGTTCGTTTAAATACCGTAAGCAGTGCCCCATTCTGCCACCAGGATTGGTTTTGGGTTTTTTTCGAAAAATGTTATTAAAATTAAATCTTAACGAAATTAGGAGGGAAACAAATGTGTAATTCAAAGAAGGGTGAAACTCACCAGGTTGGTCAAAGAATCTATTTAATAGAACCCACACCTCTTCATCAATATTCCAACATTCGTTCTTTGCTGCATTCGTTACAGTATGGAGCGATCCCCATCGTCATCAGCCATATTTAGAGACAACTACAAGCATAGCATATATATAATAAAACCTACAAAAAAATAGCCCCATACCACTCTTCCAAGGACCTCCCTTTTAAGCTCCCTAGTTAAGGATTCTGGATGCTTTTAACCAAGAAACAAAATCCAAGAATCCCTCACGGGAGAAAAAAACATTAACAACTACTTCTATATTTTTCTTTTGTAAATTAATTTTAAAATGCAAAAGTTAACTCAGTTGCATCATTCTTTTTTTCCAGCGCAAATGACATCAGCTATCGATGTGACGTGTAAGGAGAACCCTCATGAGGGAATGAATGCACAACTTTTCGAAATGCTGAAACGCACAGTAAAGCAATATGGCAAGACCCACATTATGGACCTGGTGGTCAACGTTTTCAAAGAATGTGACTCGGAGCTCCAGGAGGCAACGATGGGATCCGTGAAATTCATCTTGCGTGTCAGAAGCCGGGGAGGTCTTGACAAGCTGTGGGCTATGTACACCACTGGCGAACTCGCCAAAAGACTGACCGAGATCCTCATTACTAATGAACTTACAACAGAGGATAAGAGCGACATGGCTATCAAGGTGACAATTCTCGAGCGTGACTACCGGGAATGCTGCAAATTCTTTGACAAAATGCAAAAAGGTAAAATGCCACTCGAAAAGATTGCAATGACAATAAGTGGGTAATTGATGTTATGTACGAGGAGTCGTTTTTAATTTAGGGCAATCTGCAAAGAATCAGCAACATCAAATAACACTACAAACGATTTCTATATTGGCAAATAATTAAAACCATTTTCACAAAATATTACAGCATGAGATGCAATTTTTTTACAATTTTTTGACACTTAAGTTTTTTTAGTCTTGTTTTGAGAATGTATGATGTCATCTTCACCACTCGTAATTTCCATTTTATTCTAATCCCCAGATACAAACAACCTGCAGGATCTGCCGGTACACATGTCAGAGTGGACCAAAGAAAACGTGAAACGCTGGCTTCTGAGCATCGGCATACCGGACCCGGTTGCCAACAAGTTTTATGATGGAGACGTTCATGGAAAGGTTTTGGAAATATACAGGAAGGAGCATCTTATGGAAGACTTTAACGTGGCAATAGGTAACGCGAGACTTATCTTACATCATCGAGATAAGTGGTTAGATTTGGAAAAGCAAACCTTGACCACTCCGTCAAGTGGCAAATCGGTGTTAGTGGCACCAGCAGCTGTAAGTCCAGACCATTCTGAAAGGTTGTCACCAGATGCTGTCGAAGAATCGGTACGAACAGGATTGGAAGGGACACTTCAACCAGCAGTGCGACCCAAAATACCGATGTCTCACCCGGCTGTCAAAAAGTCAACAAGGAAAAAGAAACCAACCCAGACAGATAAGGAACCACATGCACCATATGTCGAAAAGAGTAAAAGTGAAGACAGTACCGAGAAAGACGTAATCGTTTCTCCTCGTCAAAGAATCAAAACATCTCCAGCCCCATCATCCACAGGAAAAAGTGAGTGCGATAGCGACCACGATGACACAGATTTGCTAGTTGTAAGGAAAACTCCTGCATCACTCGAGGTAGCACCGTTTCAGATATCTCATGGAACACCCCAAAATGACGTCCCAAAAAACAAATCAAGTGTAGACTTTCCTCAAAGTCCTCGTCCTCCTAAACCTCGGCCAGCCTTGCAACCCAGCAACGAAGAAGGACAGGCATTGATGCAAGTGGAAGGCAAAAGCGAGTCCGTTACCAAGATAAAACCTCCGACATCCGCAGACAAAACGTCGCAAGATACACAGACCAACGAGGCCAGACTTCGCACGTTACTAACGGGTGATGACCGTGGAGATCTGGACCAGTTGTCTTATCCATTACTGGTTGCAAATAAAACTCCCACTCTCTCTCCTGCATGTTCTAGAATCGACTACATTCGCCAGCGATTTGGATTCATCAAAACCATTAGATGGACAACCGCCTTGGATTTTGATTCAGATTCTCTATCGGATGGGCTGTGTAAGCTGTACCATGATGATAGGATGGTCACTTTGCAGCAACCAGACCTGTTCAGGGACATCGAGTCAGAGGAAGATCTAAGAAACAAGATAAGATTTCCTGAAAAAACACTTTGGCTGTTCGCGAATGGTCGAGAAGACCACCCAAGTATCCACACCCCTCACATGGATCTACAGGAATGGAACAAAGAACGCAGTCGAGATGTTGAGGCATCAATCAGTTTCTTTGCTCAGCCTTCAGTCATACCAAAGGGGCGTGCTTCCATTGTGTTCCTTCTCATGTCCAATGATGATCTTGGAATCATCTGCGACATTTTCCGAAAAATTGCTTCGTCTTTTAAAGGCTTAGACAACATCACCTGTATCGCTGAAGATGAGAATGTTTACTCGCAGTTTGCAAAGGGTGTAGAGAAGTGGTTCACCAAATCTGAGTTAGACGAGAGGAGTTTGGTTGGACTGGAATGGCAAGAAATCGACCGCATCATAATGCGAATGAGTGGTGTGAATCAGATCAATGCAAGCCAACTCCCTACCAGCACGCCAGGAAAATGTTTCCTTTCTGAGAAACAAAAAGACGAATGGGATGACATAACTGTTGTTTGCAAAAACGAATGCGAAAACACCGACATGGACGAATCCAGTCAGGGCTACCAAAAATTTGCGGGGGAAAAAGAATTGAACTTTTATCGTGGTGAGCAGGCTGATTGGTGGAATTTTGCCATTGGTGAAAGAGAGGAACAGATTCACAAATCCTGTGGTCATGTACTGAAACGAAAAGGGTTTGGGGAAGTTCTTAAGAAAGTCAAAAAGCCATTGGAGAGTTCCAAGGTTGAAGACAGCTTAATTGTCACTGTAACACTTCTGCATCAACCAGGTGCGGGAGGCAGCACTTTGGCTCGTCATGTGTTGTGGCAACTTCACAAAGATGTTCGCTGCATTGTAGTCAATAGGATAACCAGCAATACGGTCAATCAAGTAATGGAAGCAAGAAAGTATGGATATACAAAGGAAAAGGCAGGAAAGATTCCTCCAGTATGTGTGCTTATCGATAATTTTGATGACTTGGAAGTGTTAGATTTAATTGGAGATTTAGAGGAGGCGTCAAAGGGTATCCATTTGGATGGTGGAGCAGTCTGCGTCCTTCTCCATTGCAAGCGAAATATGGACCCCTATCAGATGATTCAAGAGCTAAGCAGAAACCAGGACCTGTATATTCCGTTGACACATAAGTTGTACCCGAAGGAAAAGGAATGGTTCCAGAAAAAGTACAGTGAATTGGAACGTAAAGAAAGTGAGTTCAACACAGGTGATTACAATCCCGACAATCTCCTTGCCTTCATGGTAATGAAAGAAGAATTCAACAAGGAATATATAAAGAGGGTTGTTTCGGAAATACTTCATCACGGTGATATTAAAAGTAACGAGATTAGCCTGATAAAATACTGTGCATTCCTGAACACGTACATGCACGAAGCTGAAATCCCAATCTCATGCTGCGACGTTCTAATGGAAACCCAATTAAAAAGTAGAAAAACAACGTACTTGACCAAAAAACACACCAAAAATTGGGAGAAGTCGGTTTCAGCCTCTTTCAAGATTATTGTGGTAATGACCGAAAACAGAACATTAAAGATATTCCATAAGAGCATAGCAGAAGAAGCTTTACGGCAAACACAAGAAATGAGTGGGAATCAATCAGTGAAAGACGTCGCCCTAGAGTTCCTGAATAGCGAACTGTTGAGGTCACCGTCCCACAGCAAAAAAGACCTTAAAAACACGGTACACAATCTTCTTATCCGTAGAATACGATTGGGATCTGCAGACAACACAAAGACGGACTTTTCGGGTCTTATTGAAGACGTTTACAAACAGAAGAGCCAGGGACCGGAAAAAGCTGCCAAGATTCTTGAAACTGGTCTTGACATACTGAATGATGCATTTATTGCACAGCACCTTGCAAGACTTTATCTGAAAGAGGGGAATTTTCAAATGGCTCATGCTTCCATTGATAAGGCCTTGGAGATTAACCCAAAAAAACCTTACTTTTGGGATACAAAAGGCCGAATTTCCCAGAAACATTTGAAAACACTTTCAGCACCGTGTCTGGGAAACCAGCAAGTTCTCGACAAAGACGTTTCTAAGGAAATTATTAATCTTTCATTTAGTGCAATTGACGCCTTCCGCAAATCCTTTGATTTTTCCAAAGAAACAATGCAAATGGAGTTCTCCGCTTTATATGCCCATCTTAATGTAGCTTTCGAACTGCTTCATGTCATATCTGTGTGTGTTGAGCCATTCAGATCATCTAAAGACGGAAACGCTTTCAAGACGTACCTCTTAAATTTGAACAAACGTACGGATGAATACCCACAGTGGGATCAAGAGTGTGATTCCCAAATTAGAGAACTGAAAAGCAGAGTAGACTCTGCCTTGGATATCATGGATAACACTTTAACGTATTATAAGGATGGTTCATCTGCGAATATTGTTGGAGAAAAGCTGGAGGAGATGAGAGAAGAACTGAATAAGTACTCGAATATGTATGAGAAATACTACGGAGAACCTGTACCATTTGATACATGCAATGAAGAGGATCCTAAAAGCCTTGCTGAACATCGTCGACGAGTTGTCATCAATCTTCACTGTAGCAGATTCGGTGATATATTTAATCTGGCTGAGGAAAATAAACGAAATCTCGAAAAGTCTCGTCAGCTACTGTTGCAGAATTCAAGTAATTATACTGTTTTTGATCTGAAGATATTGGTGTTCATTCACCTGGCTCTCTTATCCAGCGGTAAAGAGTACATGTCAGCAGACGAAGTTTATGCAAAATTTGTTCGTCCATTAAATGACGGCGATCGTGGAAAAACCGATAACAGATGGGCGCCTTTTTTGATGATGATGTTTCTGTGGCCAATTCAAGATTCGGAATCAGAAAGAAGAGACAGGGAAGACGTGATCCATTATATTGAAAAGTTGAAAATCAGAGCAGATGGAGGACACAATGTCAAGGGACTACAGATGTCACGCCAAGAAAAGTCCATAGGCCACACCCGATTTAACATGAAACCACGAACCCATTTCTTTTTAGGCCGTGGTCAAGGTCTAAAGGTGTTCGTTCATATCAACGAAATTCTCGCCACACAAAGTAAGCTCGAAAGACGTGAATTCTGGCAATCCAGTACAGTCAAGGATCGATTGGTTCGATTGGAGGGAATCCTTCTAAATAACACTTCGCTGGTTTACGGCTATAAGAAAGATAAGAAGATCATCATAAAGTTGGCTGTTCCATCCCACAAACACACGCAAAGCCAAGAAAGTGTAACATTCTACCTTGGATTCAGCTGGAGTGGTCCAGTGGCTTACAGCGTCACACCCAAGGGCAAAGAATCTTGTGATGATAACGAACCACGGCATTTTCACAAGGCATACCCGAAGCACATTCTGCCCAGATCCAAGTCAAAGGCGTCATCATCCGATGATACATCTCAAATTGACCGTCTTCAGAAGAAATGTCAAGAACTGCACAATGAACTACTAGAACTTCAGGAATCACTGCGGGATCGCAAGTTGAAATCCCTCGAGGTAAGACTGATATATATATAAATTATATGGACATTTTAAATTTTAAATGTGCCCTAACCCAATATTCCCTTGTCCTTTTCCGACGAATTTCGGCATGTTTACTAATTAGACCACAAGCAACAAATATAATCTAATTGCGACTGCAAAATTGTGACTCTAAATGGGGGGCTGTGACATTAGGAAGACATGAAAATGTCTCCCTAATGACCGATGTCTCCCATGGTGCGAAGAAATTACGATAACGTGTCTTCTTAGTGGTACCTTTACACGTATAATTATGAGAAGAAGACGAAGAAAATAAACTTTTCATTGACAAGGTCATCTTGTATGTTGTAACAGGAGTGAGTAAACTATGACAGTTCTAGTTGCAATGTTCGGCAGGATCATCGAACTAAATAGGCAAGACATGAAATTAAGAACAGAATAGTGTGTTTAAAAGAACTTCTAAATGACATATTATGGTAACCCGTCTCAATTATTGTGATTTTAATAGGGTTCATTTTTTTTGGTCGTAGAAGAAAGAAATCACACGTAGGATCACAGCGAAACAACGTGAACTAGATAGGAAATCGTCTGAACTCATGCATGCTTGGCAAAAGGAAACGTACGACGATGGATAAACTAACGGTGGTCTGTCAACTGAAGTCAGTTACCGAACCGCCACAGTAAAGGGCTACGAAGTATAGTGAAGTTCCATAACATTGTTAAATATGGGTTTTGCATACGACAGGAACACGTTTCCCCTGGCATTCTGTCCCGATTATGGATGTTAATTTAAATTTAAAATTACAATGAAGCTTAGCAGTGCATATAGCAATGCCGAGGGACAGATTTAAATGACAAAAAAAGTTACAACCATGATTTGAAAATATAGGTTTCACGGCCAATTTCCTAAAAATGTTCATTCACTTCTGAAATTTCGGTCATTCATTTCCGTCTGAATTTGCGAATCGCTCTGAACACGCGTTTCATTTTCGCTACTAGAGCATTCGATTCCATTTCAATTTAATCAATTAAGTGATTGAGCAGCACCTTTCGTTGATGTCCAATTAGATTCGTTTACAAGACTTCTTTTTCTCTTCTAAAGGGCGATTTCAAACATTCACCGTTCCATTTCACTTTTAGTTTAATGCCATCGACACCAGATACAATTCGAGGTTTCTTTTTCATTAAACGTCAATCAAATTAGCTGTACCTGAAATCAATTTAGACAAGGTGTGCTTGCGTAAATGATTGCACAGGTAACGTAATTGGCCGTCTGTTTCTCAAAACCGAATGCACGGACAATGAAAACGATTGAACTTTCGTTGAATTGAAATGGGATTCAAGACGTGCATTCAAATTCAGACGAAATAGAAAGACCGATTTTTAGAAGTGAATGACCATTTCAGGAAATTGGCCGGGAAAACCTATAATAATAATAAAACATTTTGTCTCGCGGACTGTTCTTTGAGACTAAATTTCACATGTTAAGTTGATTGCAGTATGACATGTACATGTAATGAGCTTTCCTAGATGCCACCAGCACATTTTACCAGCTGGGTTTTCAAGATTTCGTCGAATAAGGAAACAAAAAAGTGACTTTCGATCGCTGTTGTTTGTTAAAGAGAAAATGACATAACGGCATTCATAAAATTCCTTACAGATGTGCTAACAATATTCCCCCCAGAAAAAAAACATTACAAATACAAATCTTTGAACTTTTATAAAACTGTCATGAAATGTGATTTGAGATAATGTACTGCGCCTTGAGAACCTGGTAGGTTGATAATGTGTGTGCTTTTTAAATCGATATTATTATTATAATTGTTATTACAGATGATGGGGGACTGTTGTGTAGTTATATTTATATCAAAATACAGAAGAAATTCACAGGACTCTCTGTGGTCCAATGGTTACGGTGTTCGACGAGTCAAGTACCGTGGTACCTGGGTTCGAACCCTAACGGGGAACATGGTGTTGGTGCTCTTGGGCAAGGTACTTTACTACGATATGGCCTCTCTTCACCCCAGGGAAGGTATGGAGGCCAAATTGCGCTTAGCTCGAGCTGCTGCAGAAAACTGTCTCATTCCTATTGAACAGGGATAATAATTGTAAAGCGTTTTGAAACCTTAGGCATAAAGCGCTATATAAGCACCACATTATTATAATCAGATTTTTCATTGGCTTTAACGTTGATATCCGAATTATTATACGAGTACATAATGAGTACCTTACACTGAACACTACTTCACTTTACTAGGGAAAGAATGTTTTACGGAGCTGCTTTTATTCATTAATGTAACAGCAGCACTTGCACGCCGGGCTTGGGGATGACCTCCGAAGGGTGGAGAAATTGTAAGGGTTGGACTGGACCCGGACAGCAGTCTTTGGAGATAAGCCCGGTTCATACTTCACGCGAAAGCGAAAGCGAAGCGAAATTCGAGACGTCAACAATACATTCGAAGCGCGTCCACCATTGTTGACGACATGAATTTCGCTTCGCATGAACCAAGTATGAACCGGGTTTTACACCATTCTTTATTGCTTCCCTCCAATCACCAATGTATGGCATAAGCAAACAAATAAACACCTTATAAATCAATACAAATTACATGTATATTATAGTTTATCGTATAGTTATTTTACAATACCCATTTACAGTTAAAACTTTACATTAACTACGCGCCGACACCACGCGAGTATCCAGTGAACCCGCGAGTGTTTAGCGAGCGCGCGATTATCTAGCGAGTGCCTGCACGCCTGTACGATCGAATCACACACAGGACAGTTACTTTCAAGCTGCACTGTACCATGTGTACACATATAGCGCGCGCACAACGCTTTACGTGCATGCAGAAAAGTTACATACAATATATAGCGTCGAAAAAAGAAATGCAAAAGACTGTCGCAAGGACATATCAAACGCTCTAAACCCTACTCAACGGGACACAAAGGGGTGGGCAGACAATCCTTATGGTCAACATGACCAGGCTGGAGTCTCAGATACTCAGGCAGTTTACTGATGTATTTGCCACCCGAATAATGTGCTCCATATCACATGGATTCAGCCGGCCGCGAAACCAAATGGCACGGTAGGCTAGTTTATCCGTGCGCGGTAAAATAGGCAAATGTTTATATCTAACTAAACTAAATTGAATTTGCCATAACATCAATATCAAAAACATTCCAGATAATTTACAATGCAATACCAAATAGTCCTCCCCTCCCAAATGTGTATAATCAAATTATCATTGGAGAAGTGATTAAAAACTACTTTCCATACATGCGCAGGAATACTATGAAGTCTAAAGTTTATCCAAATACTCGTTTGCTACGCACCAAAGTAAAGGCAAAATGCACATATCCCAACATTAATGACATACTACGCTCAAGATTGGTTGGACGTAGATCTGAACAATCCGATTTAGGGCGCGATTCGGGTTTTTTTTTAGATTTAATCCTTTTGCCTCTTAAATAAATAAGGTTACTCCTTAATTTTCTCAATACAAAGATCAGCATTTGTGTGAGACTTGGAAGATGATCATGCGGTAATGTTGAACAAACCGCGCAAGATTCAGTGCAATGTTACACGTAGAACTTGACTTGATATCTGAATTGAAGCTGTTTTATATGCTACTTCTTTGTTTAATAGATTAAAAATTGACATATCTTTCGTAAATATCGTCTTTTATGATTTTTCTTAAATACATGTTCAACGCCTTTCTTTAGATTTTCAAGAACTGAGAAAAAAAATCATTTTGCCAGATGACAATCTTTGGTCCAAATGACCAAGTAAAGTTTTATAGATGCTAGGGATTATGATGCAATGTCGTGGGGCAGAGTTAATATCATTATGATTTGACATGTATTTCAAGACGGGTCTTTGATCCTAACTTTTAAATTGAGTTTAGTTTCCCCAAACAATATTGATATTTACAGGAGCACAACTTATTTGAAAATTTCTTGATGAGATGGGGCTTAGTATGGCATATAGGTGCAGATATTGTGCCTTTGATGATACTCCCAAGCATGGAATTTGGCACATAGTGAGAGTATGTCATGAGAAGATATTCGGCTATAGTGCCATCACATATTGTCATGTGACAAAATGCATCCTTAGCTAGGATTACAAGCAATGGCAGCAAGTTTGAAAATGATCGGCCTTGCCTTTTATTCTACCAATATTTTGTCACCGGACAAATCTGTGATGGCCCAGTGGCCAAATATCTTTATTAAGACACCCTTTGACCCAAATGCCATGCTTGTATCATCAGTACGTTTAACAAGCCTTTGTGCATTTTTGTATAAAATTATGCATGTACATGTATAATACTATTGTTGACAAAGGTCCATCAGTGGAGGGCAAAAATCCAGTATTAAAATGGGGTTGCATTTGTTAACTTTGTAACAACATTTATTTAACGCACAGGTTCAAGTATAAGCCTGTTGGAAAACATTTCTCGAAAAATGTTGGCAAACTGAGATAATTTTTGTTGGTATGCATGAATAACGGGCAAATAAAAATGGGCCGTTAACTTGGATTGGTAACTCTGCAGTCATGAGATCTATGATGCAGGTTAGCAGACACAGTTTCTTAACAGTTGGCCATCCAGTTTAGTACAGTAATGATTTCTTTCAAACATTCGAGACCGGGTGGCAGCATTCTCAACAGGAGTTATAATGCTTTAAAAATGTACTGCCCATGCATACCCTTTAAAGATCACTGACTGTGTTGTTTTCCTCGGCTAACGAACTTTTCAATTTGCAGTTCTATACGAAAATACTACTTACCTTGTATTTTGGAGTGCTGCAAACTTTTTGGGTCGCTTTTGCGCCTCTTATGCACATACTCAACTCAATATTGGGTTCTTGCCCTTCACACCGACGTGTTCTATCAACACTGTATACTCAGTGTTATTACCCCCGAGTGATAGTGAGAAGCAAATCACTCTGGTGGGACTCACGACCTCCTGCTTACGTTAGAAGTGAATTACTTATGTATATTAAAGAATAGCGTGTGATTTAAATCTATTTTAGGGGTGACTTGATGAGCTCTGAGAGCAATTATGATTATAATTTCATCATCGTTTAACATTGGTATTTTTGTATCGTATATACACAAAATAAACTTTGGAGGGACAGAATCTTTTCAAATACGTGTAGGATGCATGATGATAAACGTTTTCCGTTCAGTAACCTGAGTAGACCTTTTGGTTTGGTGGGAGGTATTTTACCGGTCGGATCTGCGCTATCACTCGATCCCGCAGAAATGTACTTGCGCGATAGCTCGATCCTGTAGGAATTCTGAGACTTTGCTTCCCTTTTTCCAAAAAATAATCCTCCAGAGCCGTGAATTAGAAAGAAAAGTTGATCGACTGATGGCGGCGCGATCGAGCGATAGCGCAAATCCACCGATCGCACCCTTTTTGCATCGAACATTAAAGTCTTCCCGCGCCTCCCTGCCGCCGCTGGCTGTCTTCGGCTGGACTTTTTGGCCCCAAGCTGCAACCTTACCTCGTTTAACGGTGGCTGGCCGTCCTTTAGCAGTGGATATCGGGCCCGAAATTGGTCTGGACTCCCGCACTTCCAACATTCTGGCTTCCAGTCGTCTGGCTTCTTTGCTCCTTGGCCACTACGCTGTAATTCCAATAGTTCTCGCAGCATCGCCGTACGTTACTGGTCAGTTGGCGCAGAGTCCAGAGAATTATCTTTGCTGGACTCGGGCAACACTGCTCGCGACCGTCCAGCCTTCTCTGCCTTGCACCATGCCTCTGCGTCCGCCATGCACTGCTTCATCCAGCGTCGACGGTTTCCCTTGAAACAGGGTGCGCTTCAGTTCAAGGTCGTCAAGTGCGTTCTTGAACATTTCGATGTCAAAATCCTCCTGGAATGTCGACCCACTATTGGGAAATGCGCGACTTTCTTGACGTTAACTCCGCGCGGAGACGAATCGCTGTCCTGAAGTGCCGCTCAAGAGCCTCGGTTCGCCGTAGGACGGATTGCATCTCCTTCGTCCAGTAGCAGGCAGCCTCCACTGCCGGCTCCTTCAACGCCACCAACAAGTAAACCGCTCGCAGTTTGTCATTCCCAGTCGTTGATTTCACTGGTGACCGCTCTATGTTTCGACATACAGGGGTGTAAAACGTACGTGTCGGAACATAGGATGTGCAGTCGGCACATAAGGGTACCGGAACATATACGTCGGAGCATAGGTGTGTAACCGATTGCACTTACGAACTGAAAATACACCAGGTAATCTTCGATGCACGAAGACCCATAAACCTTCTGAGCCTTGACCGGTGTCAGTGTGCACTGCCGTGTACCTGCCCACATGACGAGGTTTGCAACCGGCGCTGCGTGCGGTGCCCCGGTATATAGGACGAGTCGGAGACCGAGGGCAACCAACATCGGGGCGGTGCTCACCGGCTTCGCTATACTGACGCCGCACGCCACTGTGCCACAAGATCAGCATATCAACGAGCCCTCTTCGGCGTCTCAGTTGTAAACTGCAAGACTTTCTCTGCCTGCCAGACTCATCCTGGCGTCGATTGGCCCCGGCCGGGGCGTTTGCTTGGCTCATGCCGCCGTGCAACGCCCAGTTGTGGAGTATCCCAATGTCACCGATGGCTTCGGGTTATTCCGTGCGACTCCGCCTCCCTGAAGCTTCGAAAATCCTGCAGAAAATTCCGACGCTGCCACCATTATTGTAGCGTGAACTCACTGGGCTCTATAGGCAGAATCCAACAAAATGCAAGGAGGACACTTGTTCCAAAAGAAACTCTCATTTATTTCGCAAAATGTACTCTGCAGTCAACTCGCCGCACCCTATCAGAACAACAAGTGATTCAATCCAGCATTGAAAAACACAGCGGCACAAAATGTAATACAATGTAACAACTTGGGAAGTTGGGAGCAAAGTAGCTAAACCTTTTAGGAACTAATTTCCGGAGCCCGCGTTTCTTGAACAAAGGAACTAGGTCAGCGAACGCACCGCCACGCCGGAGCCCTCCGACCGGGCGGCCGGCTAGTGCCAGGGTGACAGGCTAAATTTGACAGCTTCTTTTGGGGGGGGGGGGGGGAACGATTGTCAGAAAATGTAGCATAATTATTTTTTTAACAGATTTATAACAGAATTCTGTAAATTGGTAATCTGACAGAAAAATATGGTAGATTTAAAAAATAAAGCTGATTAGTTTTGAAAAGCTTGAACTTTAGGTTCCCTGGCATGTTTTTTTAGTATGATTAATAGTACACAGTAAAGTGCTTTAGACCATTGCAAGCCATGCTAGACGTGCAATTTTTTAAGTCTTTTTTTAAATTATTTTTTAAAGGAAAGTTTATGATTTTGGTTTTGATTAAGGAAATTTCATAACATCTGCATGTGAGTATAAGTGTTTATAATGTAGGCCTATTTCCTGTAATAACAGGTTTAGCAGATTTTTGTTATACTAGCAGGGTTTTTTAAAGTGCATCTAGCAGAATGTTGACATACCCTACGGTTACCCCGAAAAAGTGCAGTGCTATACAAACTAAATAACTTGTTTCGCTAATTTGAGACTTTTTTTACAATTTTTGTAGAGCATGTACTTAGGCCTAAAACAGACACGATCGGAATCGTAGGTAAGAAAAGAAATTGAAATTCAACTTAACGGCGATGTGATTTGCTAGCAGATTCAGTTGTGAACATGAACACGTTTTATAATAGAAAAATAATTAGTTCGGCATGTTTTTGGCTATCGGTTGAGCGTGTTGCGTCTTCTGTATATGACAGCAGGCATCTGTATGTTGCGTAGCGCCCTCTTTAACTAGTTCGCGATGATGTGAACGGCTGCAGAACTTTCTTTCTATAGTCTCGATATCAGATTTTAAACGTGGATTACCATTGCACGGGACAACTTTTCAGACAGTGGTAAAACAGATCATTGATTTTATAGGTAATTATAAGTACACGTGCAAAGCAATTTCTGTAAGTAAATCAACACACAGCCGGCCATTCACACTGTACTGGTGGTGGTGCGTAATGAATGAAAGTAGAACCGTCTTGTCTTAAAGACTAGCACTTTTGTACAGCGGGGTTGCCTCGTATCGTCGCAACGTAGCGTTGTACGGTTCTTTGCATTGTTGTTGATCCCCCCGTGCATGTGTGATGATCGATCCAACGTAAACATAATGCATTGCACACACGGAATACCCCACACACGCTACGCGAGATAGAAAGGAGACAGAAGTACTGCCAACTGCGCCCATGAATCACTGAAAGGCCACGAATTAAAAACAAGAGGACTTGACATGTAGCTTAGGGTGAGTATGAGAAGCCTTCTAATTCTATGGAAGTATGGTGAGTACGTCCTTCCTCCATGTTGTAACTAACATTTCGCGAGAACTCAGGGAGAAGCTTTTCCTGGACATGATCATAATTTAGGGCCGACGGTCCGAGTAAACTCGTCTAGTACTTTATAGTTGGACTCTACGAATCGCCTTCCAAATGTTAAAACTAAAAAGGGTGATTCGTAGAGTCCTACATGCAGTTACTCGGAATAATTATGTATGATTAATGGTCCATAATCGCCAGAATCAGCACTAAATCAGTAACTGTGCTGTGTTGGCATGTTATGAATACATGTACGTAGTCCGAGTAACCATGGAGTAACTCGGGACTCTACGAATCGCCTTTTTTAACATTTGGACATGGTGGCATGATAGTAGAGTCCAAGGATCATATCCCTATTCCGACTGCCATTATTGAAATTCCACTCATTTTCATCATACCCCAAACAAAATCCTCAGATTTCACCCCCCGAAACAGTCCTCAAACTGCCTGATGCGCTGCACCCCTGTACTAGTACTACTAGTACTAGGCTTCGGTGGGAATTGAAAATACGATGGTGGTGGTCACCCCATGGTTACCCCTAGTTGAGCCGCAAAGGTATCAACACAAAAATTTGCTGAATAAAATTGTCGGCACAAGCATTTATTAGTTTTAAGAAGGACATGAAGTAGATATAAAAAACCAGAAGAGTCTTCAAAAAATTTATTATCAACTAATGTGACAGACAGGACAAAAATATAACAAATGGGTAAAATGTGACACTTGTATATGTTGAATAAATGTAGGCACAAGCATTTATTATTTTTAAGGACATGTACATGTAGAAGGCCCTATATTAAAACCAAAAGAGTCTACAAAAAAATTTATGTTCAACTTTTTTTTACCTAGAGGTGATTGAAAAAAATGTGACAGACGGGACAAAAATATGGGTAAAATGTGACAGACGGGACAGATTTTGAGCTGAAATATCAGATCAACTATACGTCAAAGGACATTTTTATTTTACTTTCTAGGTGAGGTCACCTGGATAGAAGATAGGAATGCAAGTTTGAACCAAAATGATCTTTTTATGTAAAAAATACACAACTTTTGGGGGGCAGACGGGATATTGCAATGTCGTTTTTTCAAAATGGTGCAACACTGTGATGTTTCATCTTTTGGTTTAAAAATCTATAGTGATGGAAAGGGACGGCATCAGACTTCATAGTCAACCCCAAATAAAATGTTTGAAGCTTAAGAACTGTACCAGAGGGGAACTCAAATTTCCATCACAAAATAGAGGAAAACGCAACTTCTGTTTCTTAAAACTTCAAGCCTTGATAAAAATAAATCCAAGTGCAGCAGAAGAAATGCAAAAACTGTTTCTGAAAGCTTGGTTTGTCTACTTAGAAAATGTACTTTGAAAATTCATGAGTTTGCAACTCTCATCCAGAATTAACCAAGCATAAGACTTACTGGTAAATTATAATTTACTAGAATTGTAGCTATATGATGTGGTATTATGGCAGAGGGAAATTGTGCATTGCACAACCCGGACAGGATGGATGCAAGGTCATCCAGTGTTATTGCAAGGTCATCCAGTTTTATTATGTGGACCACTGTACATGTACTACTACATGGGGAGGAAGCTGGTAAATTTATGGTGTAAAATTTCAATTGCCGGGTTACAAAGAAATCTTGGACGCTGCCCACCTGTCGTGCCTGTACTGCTTTCCTGTTTTGTGGTACATGTACACTGCAGGAAATACAACAAAATGACAATTTAGGGTGATATTGTAGACCTTTTTTGAGTGAAATACATTTGACTTTTGTGTTTATTATTTTGGTTTAACCCATAAGCACTTCATTAAATTATGTAACGTTTACTTCTTGATAAATCTGTGATAACATTTGACCCTGCCCAGCATGGGCGTCGCAAGGGGGGCCTTGCCCCCCCCCCCCTCCCCCGCTTCCCCCGGAAAACAAAACAAAAAAAGAGGGAAAAAAGGATAAAAGAGGTGCGAAGCCATATGTTATTTGATGGGTAGTAGGGAAATGCTCCCCTGCTCATGATCGTAAAAAAAATTGAGAATATAATGAAAAAGTTAAGGAATTTTTGGGGAAAATTAGCTCTGCCCCCCCCCCCCCCCCCGAAAAAATCCTGGCGACGCCCATGCCCAGGGCAGTTTGGGGCGGTTTAAGGCGGTTTAAGGAGTAACATGTAGGGCGTTTGTGGGCGGTCCGGGGAGTAATTGGTTACTTCCACTGAGGAACTAAATTAGCTCTGTCAACACTTGGAAAATGGAAATTATATAACTCTCAAAATGTATTAAGGATGAAAATTTTTCACATACTGTATACTGTGAAATGGAATGTTCTGTGCTGCTTCCGATTTTTCCAAGAATTATTACAAATATGCAAAGATCATAAAATAAACAACAGCCTGCTCCTGGTAATTAATGCGTACATGATGTAACTAAATTAAAAGAAGAGGAAAAGTTTCTAGTTGAGCAAATTCAGTATTCGTATCATCAAACTCAAAACAGCTATAGGCCTTGGCAGAAAGTTGCGTGCCTGAACACTCAACCGTTCTGTGTGAAATACACAAGGACGGATCCAGAACACAATTTTGGGGAGGGGGGGGGTGGCCCAGAATAATTTTGGTCCCCCAAAAAGTATCCACAAAATTATGGCGTTATGAAAAGTTATGAAAATTGTTTGGATTCTAGATGCTCTGTGGTGCGATCTGAGGCAATTTCGGACCAATTTGACGGGTTTGTTTTGGAGGAAAAGATGGTGGTGTACCCAGTGCCTGCCTTTATTGCAACGTCACTTAAAAAAACAAATTGAGTTTGTTCGGGGGGTCTTGGACCCCATTGCACCCCCCCCCCCCATCTGCCCTCCGAAATGCACAATGCCGTAATGTTTGCATTACCGTGAATATTGTGTTAAATACACAGACCATGACAACAACAATGACACAACTCTTTTCATGAGTCTGTGTACCATTTCAATTCAGTGATCAATACAGCTGCTTGTGATAAACTTTTCACTGTAACTTATCGTTGTTGTTTTTTTAATTCATACATAGTGCAACCAAAACGTGGAATTGCACAACAGGAATAGTACAGGATGCCCCTGGCTCCAAAACAAATACAAATGTATAGTACACGGTGCGTATTATAGGGCTGTCCATTTTCAAATAATTTAGTATTCCATTACTCGAAACTGCATTTAACTGAATATTCGGTTATTCAAAACTGCAACTGTGTGCTGCACTGGTAATAAGTTGCATGAAGAGTGGGGCGCCGGAGTGTTTTGCAGTAATTTTTTTATATCTGTAAAAGGATTTTATAACGCAGTAAAAGGATGTGAACAACTAACCGTCTTTGACAAAAAAGTTACAGTCAACAAAAGCCGCAACTTTTCGATAAAATAACGTCACCTATATGGGTAGGGCCTACTGTGTATCTGCGTATTTTTCGAGAATATTCAAACCGGCAAGAAGCTATTCCAATATTCGATTGATGGTCAAATATTCCACTATTTGGCATATGCGGGACAGCCCTAGTGCGTATGATCTCTCCGAGAGAATTTTTCAATTTTCATGCACCAAAAAAAAAACATGGGATCAATGCGTTTGCCAGGTACATGTAAGAGCATGCACACATGCATCTGGGCTTAACAACCCTAACCCACCTCACTCCTCCAAAATCCTCCTGGCGGTTTTGGAGGATTCTAGAGGATTGAGGATGAATGGTGATTGAATCAAATGAGGATTCTGGAGGATTGAGGATGAATGGTGATTGAAGCACAAGAGGATTTTGGAGGATTGAGGATGAATGGTGAATGAAGCACAAGAGGATTTTGGAGGATTGAGGATGAATGCATTTTGAGGCAGGACTGTCTGATGATTTTGAAGGATTTGGCGTTGGTTATCCTTCATTTAAACACGAGTGCAAAGTTTTGGGATGAGGAGGATTTTGGAGGATTGAGGATGAATGCATTTTGAGGCAGGACTGTCTGACAATTTTTAAAAACTTAGGCGGAGTTGAAAAATTTTGGAGGATTTTGGAGGATTGAGGATGGTTGTAAGCAACAAGTGCCTAGGGGGTTAGGGTTATTAATTAAGGCATTACAGGATCACCCACCAGGGACCACATTATTGGAAAGTTTTCAACAAGGAAAATTTGGACCAAGTTGTGGGGACTTATGACTTTAACCACAGTGTTTTGGTCCTGCAGAATCTATTACCCAACTGGTGTGTTCTTGTCCCAACAACACACAAGTTTCAGTGGGGTAGCAAGGTCATTTATATTTGGGGGGAGGGGGTTCGTGAAAAGGGCACTTGCACATCTGTGCTGAAATGTAGCCAGGCTTTTCTCTGAACGCTTCCAATGGGGGCGCTGTTCAAACCAGACAATCGTGCATGCTATCATAGACAGTTCATGTAGGTTTTGCTTTTCAGGGCAGCTCAATTGCCGACAATAAGGCGAAATTCCAAAAAGGCACTCGTAATTAAGGCAACTGGTATTAAAAAAAAGGGCCCTTGTTTAAAAAAAAAAGGGCACTTGTTTAAAAAACGGGGGGGGGGGGGGCACTTATACAAAAAAAGAGCACTCTTTGCAAATAAAAGTTGTTGAAAAAAAGGGGGGTGAAATACAAAAGGGTAGTCTTACCCCCTTATCCCCCCTCACGCTGACTACACCACTGACATAGCTGCCAACTATTACAATTTTTTTGTAATTATAACAAATTTTCTGTTAAATTATGAAAATACGTATACATTAATTTTTTTAATTTTTTTTTTAAATTATCCTCTGGCCTACAGTACATTATCAATCACAACAAGAAGGGTATGCACATGTACGTGTACATGTAAACCATGTACCTGTACTCGATGTTGGTAAAGCTGGTACATACAATGTACACTGTTAAAGGGAAAATACAACATTTGCAAACATCAAAAAATAAAACTACCAAATCATTTTGAAATACCTTGCTGGACTGTTAGTGAATGACAGTGTAAAGCATCCTGTAAAATCATGGCACCTGGTATACTGTCATTTTCAAGAAAAGTGGTATTTTTGTATCAATTTCCAACGCTGATCGGCCGATCAGCGTTGGAAACAACTGGCTTTTTTTTTCAAATACTGGCCCCAATTGACCATCGCACTTGTTTGCAATCGATTACAAACCTATGAACGGGTACGAGCCAGCTAGACTGGTTCCCTGACCTTACAATTCCCCAATGTATGTAAACTGCTCTGTTTCTTCTTATATGGAGTCAGGGAACCAGACTACAGGAAAATGATCGTTTTTCTTGGTTTTTATAGCATTTTCGAACCCAAAACCTCAAAAAAGTCAGTGTAACTATATTTGCTATATATTTCCAATCCCCCAATTCCATCCATTTCTGAAAATTACAGCAAAAGCAAATGATGTATATTCCCTTTAATATACGAGCAGTTGAAATGACCGCGCGGGTTGGCTACTTAAAGCCCGAGTCCATCATTTGCAGCTATCCAAAAAAGTAACCGGCGTAATTATTGTTGAAAACATACTGGTTGAAAGATAGTAAGGGGACTAAACTCCCTGTGAAATCATCCTTTCTGACTCTCATTTTGAAGAAATCAACGACAGAAGGCATTTCCAACGGTGCTTCTTAAGAAGCACCGTAGAAAAATTAAATTAGCTGTTCATTTTGTTATTCGGCGCAGCGCGCACAAGCATTCGAACGATGCACAGGCGCACGCGGTTGCTATAATTCGTTGGATCAGTGCGCAACATCGCGTAAAGCTGCAATTCAAAACAATTCGAAACATGATTTAGCAACTTTTGATTTTAAATTGAGATCCCAGAATGCTGTTTTTCTCGGAATATGAAGCTGAAGCTGAGCTGAAACTTCATCAAGTAGGTTGTTCAGTATCCTTCATTAGATTTTGAACACTTTTGTTGCTTCAAACGAACAAAATGCACTAATTACAAATGATGGACTATAGCTTTAACTGGGATTTTGAAAAGTTGGCAGCTATGAGTTTGGGTGCCAGCCAAGGTGCAGGATGTCATTCAGAAATCTGGTTTTGCCCTCTCTACTTTTAACAACCTCTTTGCTTTTAAAACACGTCGTATCATGCTGCACCTGCACCCATGGGTAGTTCTTTTGGGGGGGGGGGGGCATAAAATACAAACTCCCTTCATACTTCAACTGAATTCCCCGCCATTGGCTATACACAATACCTCATTATTTGCTGTACTGTCACCTAACCACGGTTTTGGTTGTAATTTAATGCAGTTTTGTTTTTCTTTATTCAGTTCAAGTGCCAGAATCTATGAATCAGGGCGTTAATGCAGACTACGGAAGCATGGGGTATGTACGAGAGCAGTGATATCAGATAACCTCATCAAAGCCCAGAACAGGCTGGACATGGAAGCCTCTGAGTTACCAGGTTGCCTCGTTGACCGGAAATCCTTCCTCCGAAACAGGATGATATCATTGGTCCCGATTGTGCCACTCCCTGGTGAGGCCACGTCCATGGAGGATGATACAGAGCTGGACGATGACGTGTCAGAGGGCTCTGAGGATTCTGGGATTGAGAGCACGTCGTATCACGCTGCACCGAGACGAAAGGTTAGAGTCAAGTTTGATGCAGTGTTCGTGAACTTGTTTGGGAATCTTTCACTCGTGCTCCTTGGATAGCTACATTGAAATAAGATGGAATTTTGCGTCGGGGTGATATAAATCAAATTAGGTTTTGCCCTTTACCGTCGGTGAAGGGCAAAACCTAATTTGATTTACATTGAAATAGTATACTTTAATGAAATATTCCCAAACAAGTTCAGAGTACATTACGATTACGCCTGTGTTGAACACACAGAGAATCAGCAATAGAAAATACATACAGCATTGTAATTACATGTACCTGTAACTATCAAGAAAAAAAATAAATAAGACTGCTGCAAACTGCTTTCTGACGGGATGTTGACCTGAAATATATAAATCTAAAACATAAATCTGGCCTGACGTATTGATCTTAACAAGGTCTTGTTAAGATCGATACGTCAGGCCGCCTGAATTTTATGAAGATGAAGGCCAAATTAAGGCTGTGTAGTGTGTTTGACATTTTCTGTGCTCCACAAGCACGAGTGGGATAACGAACTTATCTTCAAACAAACTTGAAGCACAGTAAAGTTGGAACAGGCACGCTGTGCATGCAGCAGGAATGGAGCGTGCATCTTGGAATAGCACGATACGCGGTGAGCGATATGGGCGTGGTATAATGTAGCATGGTTTGTTGCCATGGATTGACCAATCAGAATTGAAAGTTGATTGAAGATTTATACATGTACAGTATTATATGTACAATGTAGTACACTTGTTTGTTGAATATATATGGATATTACTCAAAGAACAAAACAAAATATTAAAGTGTTAATTAACTACATGTAAACGTAACTAGTTTGTTTGGAACATGTTATGTCAAAATTACATTTTTTCGTCCCTTAAAGGTATAGTCCATCATTTGTAATTTGTGCATTTTGTTCATTTGAAGCATCAAAAGTGCTCAATATCTGAAGAAGGATGCTGAACAACCAATCTGATGAAGTTTCAGCCCAGCTCACCTGCATTTTCCGAGAAAAACAACATTCTAGGATCTCGATTTCAAATCAAAAATTGCTGAATCAGGTTTTGAATTGGGCCTGAATCCAGCGTCCAAGATACCTTCTCACTAGCAGATTGCAGCTGCGCGATGTCACGCACTGATCTGACGAATTATAGCATCCGTGCGCGCGTGTGCGTCTTGCCAATGCTTGCGTGCGCTTCGCCGAATAACAAAACCAACTACTAATTTGAATTTCCTACAGTGCTTCAGAAGCACCGTTGGAAAGGCTTTCTTTCGTTGATTTCTTCAAAATGACAGCTTGCCAGAAAGAATAATTTCACAGGGAGTTTAGTCCCCTTATTATCTTTCAACCAAATATGTTTTTCAACAATAATTACGCCAGTTAATTTTTGGATAGCTGCAAATGATGGACTCTGGCTTTAATCAATATTTTTAATTAATAATTTTTTTAGACCATTTTTATATAAAGATACTGACCTATGTAACATTTCCATTCAATAGGAATATTAGTTGCTCTTTTGTACAAGTTGTCAAACCAATATCTGTTGATAATCTTATCATTGCAAAGAAAAAAAGGCGGGGTGCTTGGCTGGTTGCCAACTTCAAGAAGAAGGGCTGCATCAAGTTTGTACAGGATCCCAACTACAAGTCATGTATAAGAGTGTAAGTTCTAAATTTCTTCTTTTTGCTTTATAGTAGGCCTATATGTTAAGGGCTTTCCAGAGTACGGGAGTCCCAGCTCTACACGCTTTTTGGCGTAGAATGTCTCAATACCGAAGAGAAACTCACATGCCACAATGTTCAAGGAAACATACACTGTACAACAGAATTCCATGACTTAAATACTTTCTTGCCATGTAACTATGACTTTCCACCTTCAAGGGAAATACAACATTTGCAAACATCAAAAAATAAAACTACCAAATCATTTTGAAATACCTTGGTGGACTGTTAGTGAATGACAGTGTAAAGCATCCTGTAAAATCATGGCACCTGGTAAACTGTCATTTTCAAGAAAAGTGGTATTTTTGTATCAATGGCTTTTTTTCAAATACTGGTCCAAATTGGCCATCGCACTTGTTTGCAATCGATTACACACCTATGATTGGGTACAAGCCAGCTAGACTGGTTCCCTGTCCTTACAATTCCCCAATGTATGTAAACTGCTCTGTTTCTTCTTATAATGGAGTCGGAGAACCAGACTACAGAAAAATGATTGTTTTGAACCCAAAACCTCAAAGAAGTCAGTGTAACTATATTTGCTATATATTTCCAACCCCCCAATTCCATCCATTTCTGAAACTTACAGCAAAAGCAAATGATGTATATTCTCTTTAATGTAGCAGTGAAAGGGAGAAATTTCAACATTTTTATAGTGTTGATGCTAATGAAAATTTCATATTCATGAGCCAAAGCATGATGTCATTCAAGGCAGAACAGTAGCGTCTCCATAGCTTTGTGTACAAGTATATATCAAAATTGTCTTCTTTTGTTGGAGTAAGTTCCACCTGTTACTTGTTTACCACGTTAACTAGCTTGTTTGGACAATAGAAGTGGTCAATATTTCTTTTATTTTTTTTGTGGGTAATTTATTTTTTACAAAAACTCATCCGTTTCTTTTCCATGGTGAAAATTTCAGGTGTTTCTGTGGTCGTTCCAAGCGTTACCATGTAACTTTTTCACAGCATAAGGATCCCATGAACCATCTGAGATATATCAACGACACGGGTAGCGGCCGGATGCCTTACCAGGCCCAGCAGGACTTAAATCAAAACGGGCAGGGCCGAGCCACACCAGAGGGTGCTGAGTCAACGGAGCATTGGAACGCTAAGGAGCATTTGGTGGAAGTCCCCACCGATGCCTTTGGGGAGATTCACTTCAATGAGGCTGTCGATAGAGTGTGTACGTCCAAGGTGAGCATCTGAAATTCTTTGTGATCTTTAATCAGCCCCTCCCCCCCTCAACCCCCACACACACATCTTCGTAAACACTGGCAATCGTGGACCCCCTATTGTCCCTAATCCTCATTCCTTTGTTTGTGATTACACAATGTATTACTTAAGTAACAGCTCTCATTGGTTTTGTACACGAATTTCAATCGTGGACTATCGGTCAATTGTAGACTTATTGTTTGTGTCCTAACCATTTTGTCCTGCATGTATGTCCATGATTGACAGTGTTTACATACTCAAACGCACGCAAGTGTCTAATTTACCTGCAATCAGGGACCCTATTGTCCATCTTTTGTACTTGGAAATATCTCCTATATGTTTTGTACACAATCGCCAAATTGGGGACCTTATTGTCCTCTATTGTTCAACGTCCCTTCACACAAACCCACAAATACGTCTTCGAATTTCATTCGTGGACGTTCGGTCGCTCGCGGACGTTTTGTTTGTGCCCTAACCATTTTGTCCTAGGTCCATGATTGCCGGTGTTTACAAACTCAGACTTACATACTGTGGACATTCCAAGTATTCGTGTAGTTGAGAAAAAAAATGCAGAAAAAACTCATCTTACTCCCACTGCGAACACTCTTTCAGCCCAAATGTGTTATCATGATTTCCTTGAGTGTTCCTCTTCATTTTGCAACGGATAAACCTTACCCAAAATGCCTCTAAACCTGTTTTCCAGAGAGGGAGAAACCTTTGAATTCTGTGGCTAGCAGCACCATGACATTGGGCCCAGATCATCTTTAAGGAAACATACAGATATTTAAAGTCTGTTTATTGGACATCCGAGATATCAGACTGTTTCTGGGCATGATCTTGGAGTTATCTAATAGAATTTTTTCTCACTTCGAAACAAATCCCGAGTTCTTAATATTTCCTTGTATTTTTTTTTTTTTTTCAAATCATCAGTTTGTGCGCCTCTCAGACCACACGGAGATGAGATACGTCCTGGACCTGCTGACCAAATACTGGCGACTGACCAGACCTCAGCTGGTCATCTCGCTGACCGGTGGGGGGCGGAGTTTCAAACTCAACAAGAAGGACAAAGAGACGTTTAGCCGAGGCGTCATCAAGGTAAGGACCAGAGGCCAAATGTCTTTGAGCTTCTGGGCACAAATAGTTCGCTAAGCTCAAAAAATATATGCTTAGGAGAAAAGGGTCATTCGATGTGTACTGCTTGTGATGACTGGTGGTCAGCAAATTTTGGCTTAGCACATCATAGCTAGGGTGGATCATTTGTAATTGTGCATTATTTGTGCACACTCAATTGCACGTTGCACTGTCCACGTTCGCTTGTCAAAAATTGTCAGACTCTGAAGAATTTTTGGCACTTTTGTGCCCTAGTTATAACTTGTTTGTTCAAAAATCATGAAATATGTTGTTTGTATACAAGTACTCGTCCTCGTACTCGGAAGTTCTCCTGCTTGTACTTGTACTCGTACTCGTACTCGGCAACCTAAGTGTTCAGCAGTACTCGGTACTCGGGGAAAAAAGTACTCGACTACAACACTGCAGCTGTGAAATTGGGCCTAGACAAGTAGCTTTTTAGGGTAAAAAATGGCTTTGTGGAATGTGGAGTGTTATACATGTATGAAACTCATATTGACTGGCATTCTACGTCATATTAATATTTATATAACTGACATACAGATCCTAGTCATTTGATTGGTGGAACTCACATCACGTGACATTCGTTATTGCTCCCATTCATGCCGCGTCTCAAAAAGTACTATCCGCCCATGGGGAATGGGAAATACTATTCAACAGTTAGGATCATCCTTGTTCCCACGGCTTTTGAACAGTCGACCCGCACTTATTTTGAACAGCAGAGCGCCGCAAACCTGGGGAGAAGGTTGTGACCCGGATTCGTGCTGCATGACAACCACACACAATCATGGCGGCGACGTCAACGGATGTGCCAACGTTTGCGTCCATTTCAGACATTGATTTAAAGGACTTAATCGATGCAGCGGACTCGAATAACACCAAAAAGCAGATAAAATATGCAATAAACAGATTGGATGCTTACGCCAGGTTCGTTGGTACAACATTATCAGCCGTAGAAGCGCTATCGATGCGTGCTCTTGATGAATTTCTTTGCCGTTTCTACGCCAGCCTACGGAAACTCGATGGAAAACTGTATACGAAGAAGTCAATGCAAGGAATACGCTACGGGCTGCAAAGACACATTCAAGCCCTTCATGACTGGGACCTTAGTAAGCAACGAGAATTTGCTGGGAGCAATAAGGTATTCAAAGCCATGCTCGTGAAATTGAAACGTGAAGGCAAAGGATTCGTGAGACACAAAAGCCCAATTTCTGTTGCTGATATGGAGAAAATGCAAGCATCAAATGATTTGGACATGAGTACTCCAAGGGGACTGCAGAATAAGGTATTCGTTGACGTTATGGTTTACTTTTGTAACCGTGGACGTGAAAATCTGCGGGATATGAAGCCAAGTGATTTTATAATTTCCCAAGATGAAGATGACATTCAGTATGTCACCAGGCGTGATCAAATGACCAAGAACAATCGCGAAAATGATGATGAATCATCCAGCGGTTTCATGTATGAAATTCCTGACAATGACAGATGCCCCGTAAGATCATTGAAACTGTACTTATCCAAGCTGAACCCGAAGTCCCCTGATACGTTCTGGCAAAGACCCAAGGAAACTGCACCACCAGATGATGGCCCGTGGTACTGCATTGGCCCAGTAGGAACTAACACTCTAGGTTCCAAAATGAAAATCATCTCAACCAAAGCTGGATGTAGTAAAGTTTACACCAATCACTGCCTGAGAGCAACTTGCGTAACTGTTTTAGACAGTGCAGGCTTTGCTAGTCGTGATATCATGTCTGTCAGTGGACATCACAGCGAACAGTCAATCAAACACTACAGTAAAACAAGTGACGACAAAAAGAAGCAGATGAGTGCAGCATTGGCATCCCAATTGACAGTGAACCAGCAAGACCAGCACTACTCAGAACTGGATGATGATAACAATAAACCATCCACCCATCAGCAACAAAACAGATCCACAGCACTGGAGAACATTAACCTACCTTTGACTTCATCCCAAGAGGAGGAAATTCTTCAGGAACTTTCAGCTACCAGTGCAACTAATGCTCTTAACATCACCAATGATGTGAAATCCACTACAAGCCAAAACTTTAATTTTCATGGCTGTGTTGTTAACTTCTACAATGCCAAGTAGAGAACATTGACTTTCCTAAAGGACATTAATCCTTCATCCCAGGAGAAGGAAATTCTTTAGGAACTTTCAGCTACTAATGCAACTAATTTATATCTGAACATGATCACCAATGATGCAAAATCAACCACAAGCTAAAACTTTCATTTTCACGGTTTTGTGGTTAACTTCTACAATGCCAAATACAAAGGGGACATTGACTTTCACAAATGGCATTACATTGTAATTTAAAGGAAAGATTACTTTAGTGATGACACTACATTTAGCACAACCAAAACCTATAAAGACTGTAACTGTTGATTTTCAAAAGCATTATTGATTCCATATGTTGTACTTGTACTAATTTGTGGAATATCGAAAACATTAAATTTGTTCAAAAATACAATTTGTTCCGAACCTTTATTTGTGTGATTTGAATTTATTCCTCTTTTTTTTTTTTAAATAAATCAAATGACAAGGATCTATATGTCAGTTATATAAAACAAATATTGAGTGGCTTTAAATTGTGGAATGGGAGGAATATTCTCGCTCGGTAAAATCTGGACTGTTCCATTTCACTCGGCTTCGCCTCGTGAAATGGAACAGTCCAGATTTTACCTCGCGAGAATATTCCTCCCATTCCACGCTGAGCCACTCAATATTTGTATACTATTTCCCTCAGCTGACATATGCATGTAGGTCCCTTTGTGTCACTCACAGTCTCTCAGGGGTGCATAGATGTGCACTAGTGACCTCATTGCCAGTCTATAATTGTGTACAATATTTATCAGCAGTTTCATATGTTACCATGAAGGATTGAGTAACTTTGTTCTTTTTCATGCAGGCTGCTTGGACCACGGATGCCTGGATCATCACCAGCGGCTTCAACGCCGGCATTCCGCAGATCGTCGGGGAAGCGGTCCAAGCCAGCCACACCAGGGACTGGATCACGAGCGACAAGAAAAAGTTCTCCTCCAGCAAGCTCAAATGCATTGGTCTGGCGCCTTGGGGGTATGTGGACGGCAGCCATCAACTCCTCACAAGGAACGGCAGGGTGAGTAGGGAAAGGGGGGTTGGGTGTTAAACATGATTTGGCACAGAATCATTGTGTAAAGGGCACAAGCGGAAATCATAGCCCCAGAGAAGCATTGGTACACCCATCGTATCAGAGAAGCTATTGAGATCCATAAACATGACACTGTACCACAAGACATTGGCTATTTCATAAGCAACATGTGGCATTCACTAATACCAAGTTGCAACACAGCCACCTGACACAGTTCACAGCCAACTAACACACTGAGTGAGCAGGACACACCAACACAATGCCCAGGGCTCACAGCCAACTGACACACCTGAGCGAGCAGGACACACTATGGGCATCCAACTCCAACGCCCAACAGACAACCAATCTGAATCTACCAACACAAGCACTCCCAATCCTAACACAGCCTACGTAAGGAGCAGCATCTCCAACTCTCCTCAGTCTCCTGACGATGACTAGAGCAGGCCAGACCAAAGACAAGTTCTTTTGAGACCCAAGACAAGTTCTTTTGAGCCCAAAGACAAGTTCTTTTAGAACTTAAAGTCTTTTAGAAGTTAAAGCAGGACTGTTCTTATCAGAACTAAAATTACTTAGCGAAAGTTGATAATAAGCAGGACAAGTTCTTATCAGAACTAAATGTCTACTGAGTGACAGTAGTGATTGCTACATGGTGTTACCGCAAACCAAAACGATGTATGTAGTTGGTACATATCTGACTGATGCACTTCGCGTTGCATGCAGAAAATATTAATTTTGTATTACGCACTTATAATGAAGTTAAGTTCCCTACATAAGCCCGAGCTATCAAAACAAACATTGTAAACTTGAAGTCTACTATTCAAAAACTGTATAAGCAAATTCCCCAGGTTGGAAGTGACAAGAACTGAGACTCCATTTGAGTCTTAACCCTGGATGTCTCGTTAAAAAAATTGAAATCGTCCTGGACTTATCCGTGGCCATAAAGGAGTACTTTTTTCATGCAGGGATCCTACCCAGCCGAGTACAAAGTCAACCCAGTCGTGATGAAGGGTCGCCCAGTTCCCCTGAACCCAGACCACACCCATTTTATCCTCATTGATAACGGGTTGAAGGGGGAGCAAGCCTATGGTGGAGAGATTGTGATGAGGTCCATGATTGAGGAGGCCTTAGCAGCACCCCAGGAAGGTAAATCTTTAATAAGGGAATAAATTTGTGCTTGGCTGGTTCTAAACACTATGTTAAAGACCAGTTGGCGAGGGTAATTATCAGCCTCCAACCGGTCTTAAGCAAAGTGTTTAATACCAATCAAGATTTATTTATTCCCATTCGTGAATACCTTTTCGGTAAAACAAAATTACAATTTCGGTCTAAAAGTCAATACAAGTAAAAAATTATAAATTTCCAGCAATTTTGTTCAACAAGTTATTCTCATGGTTTTTTAAACACCCCTTTAGCTGTACTGTGGTGTGTCCCTGTCGTAAACAACTCCTTATTGAGATTGGCTCGCGCATACTGCGCAATGTGGCGCAGAACACAGCTGTACCAGTGTAGTGTGAATTTAAGGCTATGAAGGGCTGTCTCAGTAGTAGTAAAGAGCAGTTTCACATCCTTATTGGCCAGTATCCAAGACACGAGTGTAGTATTACAATGAACACTTTTGCCTTCTCTATATGGACTAGATAACGGCCTTGGCCTGCCGGTAGTTGTTGTGGTTCTTGAGGGAGGCGTGGACACTGTGCTCAACGTGAAGAACGCCGTCTTGCGAGGGATACCCACTGTGGTCTGTGATGGGTCTGGCAGGGCTGCAGACATCATAGCCTTTGCCCACAACCGATCAGAAGGAGAATCGTAAGTCTTTGCAGTTCTTTTGTCCTAGTCAGCTCTGGGGGAGGAGGGAGTCTTCCTTTTCTTTATAATCACGCACAATTTCATGACTCTGGCAAGCATACCCAAACATACAAGTTTCTACTCAGCCACCATCAATTTCACCAAATGAGACTTGGTTTCCATTCTTAGTTTCTTAGCACACCTTCTCTCGCCAACCGTCCTTTTGTGCCAGCATATGACTCTCATAGTTGTGTCTAGTTAGGCCACTTTTTGTGCTGAGAGTTAAAGTAGATATTAATCAGTGCAGACAGGAGTTTTTTGTTTATTTTTTTCTCTTTTGAGGAATAAAGCAAAATGTAAGACTCAATTGCTTCATTTTTGGTTTCTTTTCAGAGAGTTGAGAACGTTAAACGACAAGAATCGTGACATCCTACGAAGCAAGCTCCACAATGCCTTCAACATTGAGCCAGATTGCGAGCACATGAACCAGCTCGTTGAAGATGTCATCCTCTGCATCAAAGACAAGAAACTGGTAAATTTCATGAGCTTACTGTAAGATGAATTATCTACTTTGGCTATTGAAGTACCAATGATGCATGGAGATTTGATTCAATATTGGGGTTTGCCCATCACCAAATTACAGTGTACCTCATAAATACTGCATACTCAGCAAGAAAAATCATGAGCTAAAACACGATCTCCTGCTTACAAATGCAATTTGTATCCCCTTGGCTTTTAAGCCAGAAAGGGGGATATTGCGATAGCGTATTTCGTATGTGTGTCCGTGTGCACCATTTTGGTTAGTGTAACTGTTTAGTGTTGTCATATGAAAAGTCAGACTTGAATCTCGACCAAACTTGGTGACAATAATCTTTGGGTAGGGGGACTTCAGATGATCTCAGACATTTGAGGTCAAAGGTCATCTAGGGTTCAAATGAGGTCATTGTTGATTTTGGTTAGGTACACTGAAAAGTGTGCTTACTAACTGACTGTATAAATACTGCCACCATAGGGGGATTGGGCAAGTTTAACTTGCAGTATTTTTTTTTCCCAGTAGAATCAATGTTTTGATGTCCAAATAACTTTTTTCTCTCAGATCACAGTTTTTCATATCGTCGACTTCAGCGAGAATTCTGGCCTGGATCACGCCATCCTGATAGCACTGCTCAGAGGTAATGTAAAAATATCATAAGGTTGTTCATAGTAAAATGTAGTGGCTCAGCACCTGAACTAAAGAGGCAGGGGTGAGGTTTGTTAAGAGTTTTCCTGATTCTGGGGGGTTTTGTCATGAATTTTCCTTTTCCTGATTTGAAGAATTTTTGTCAGGATTTTTCCCGACTTCAGGATTTCTAAAGGATTCCTTTTGAAATCTGGAATTCCAGAGATTTCACTGTAAAGGCATTTTTAAAACATGTAAATGTTTATGTAGCCTTGCTGTAGGACTTGTGACGGACTTGTGACGGACTTGTGACGGACTTGTGACGGACTTGTGACGGACTTGTGACGGACTTGTGACGGACTTGTGACGGACTTGTGACGGACTTGTGACGGACTTGTGACGGACTTGTGACGGACTTGTGACGGACTTGCAGGGAATCGAATGCAGCACTGATAAAGTGTTGGATATTCTGGGATTTGGGAAGCAAAACAAAAACAATCCCCCAAAAACCCACCTTGAGGGTAATGTTGACCGTTTTATAGTTCAGAATAATTGTCAAGTGGATTGTGTATCTCTGTGCCGTCCATTATAGTTTGTTAATGTTTATTTCCCACTTTTTGACTGAATTCAGATGTAGATGCATCTTTATACCACCTTTTTCTCAATGTCTTGTTTTCCATTCTAGCACAAGCAAGTACTTCCACATACAAGCTGGCACTGGCGCTGTCATGGAACAGGGTAGACGTGGCTGAGCGAAGGATCTTTGTGGACGATCAAGACTGGACGGTCAGTCAATCATAGGTTTTTCTTTGTCTTATAAACCAGAGCAGTATCGTTCTGGAGACTGACACTCGTTTTTGGCTTTTGTGTAAAATTAGCTTGTGTTACCCACTCAGTCTGTTCGTATGTTTTTAACCCTTCAACGGCAAAAGTGGCTGTGCCGAATACTTTGAATATTCAAGTAATTGAAAAATAAGAAGGTTGTCGAGAGAAGATGAAGATAAACATCCATGTTGTTACTTTAATCGTACAGTGTATAAGATGTGTGGTCTGTCTCGAGTGTAAGGCTGCGTCCCAATTACTTGGCTACGGCTAGAAATAACACGGGCCTATGGGAAGCGGCTGCAGCGGCCTAACAGACTTGGCAAGTCCTTATTTTCGAAGCACAAAGCCACGTCCGAATTACTTGGCAATGGCTTGCCATTTACCAACGTTTTAATAAGGAAACAACTTAGCCACTTCCCATCTATGTGTGTGTTTACTGGCAAGCCTAGCCAAGTCATTCCGATTCAGCCATATCCAAGCTGTAGTGACGTTGTGATTGATGTTTGACTTGATTGTATACAGCCTGGTAGTCTGGATCCGTTCATCATGCAGTCTCTCATGCACAACCAGGTAGACTTCTTACGTCTGTTCCTAGAGAAGGGTGTCATCATGCAAGACTTCCTAACTGTCTCCAGGCTGCGCCGGCTCTACAACTCGGTAAAGACCCTGCAATATTGTATCGATTGCCATAAAAAACAAAATCAAATTTGTAGCAGTTGATTTTATATTGATTTTCAAAGATTAAATCTAGAAATCTTTGATTGCTTGTAATATGATACTTGATGACTATCCATCCGAATGGATATGTGTGCACCTACATTTAGCTATCTGTAAACTATATTCACCATGTTACTGTTCCTTATTGTGAACACGTGCTCATACGTTTTATCAGAACTGCCAGTAAAAGCAGTATCCAAAATGGCAGCCTCCAATGAAATCCTTGTATCAGCTGTTAATCTTCCTTTGAAATACAGACAGTAGACCATTGTCATGTTGTGGCCATCTTGATTTTTTTCCCATTCAAGTCACCGCAACCAAAGCGAGGTTGGAAGGAAAAATAGTCTGATTCCTTTTTGCACTAAAAAATATCATTCAGTACTGTTATTGGGTACAAAGAACATGACTAAAAAGGTGGCAGCATGATAAAGGTCTATTGAAACATCTGTGTTCATCAATTCTTTCTCTTTCGTTCAAATCATACGTGATTATAACTTACCGGAAAAAGGGGGTGAAATTTGACAATTTATTATAAGTTTCACACTGATGCTTTGTGTGGGAAAGCGAGTTGCGTGCGACGTAACGACTTTTGAATTTTTTTCATTGAAATGGTTAAACATGTAAACGCCAAATCATGTCTTTTATAATGTATCAATAAAAAAAATTGTTTTGAAAAATAGTTACTGTCCATTGAACTGTGAACCAGGTGCATAGCCAGGGTTTTGTTTGCCCGTTGCAAAATAGAATTTTCGTATCATTTTATCAATTTTCTCCGTTCTGATTTTGCTTCTATCAGCGTCCCAATTTTGCTTTTAAAATCTCTTGCCCGTTGCACTCTGTCACTCTGCACCCTTTTGTTACGCTACAGCTGTTAAACAAAACAAGCTTTCCAATGGCCCTTGAATCAGAAGTTTTCTCTTACATTCAGGATGCTATTATAATCAATTACTCATATCTGAATAAAATTCCACCCTTCATTTCTGTTTTCCTTCATTCCAGATAAGCCACCAGCATTCCCTCCGGTCTTACATCGCACTGGTTAATAACACCAAGGTATGTATAACCTTTGAACAAGTGTGCCAAGAAATCAATTTTTTAACAAAAAATTGAACAAGAATTAAAAAAGACAATTTTTCACCTCCAGTCGAACCATACAGTTCATTTTTTTATCCCTGCATTTTCACTGCAGATTGCCGCCCCAATCTTCCTTCAGCACATTGGCCATCTGATCAGGATCTTAATGGGCGTTCACCGAAATGAGCTGTATGCTCACGACAGGCCGTTCACCTGCCTGAAAAATGAAAGCATTGGGCTGATTGCCCTGTCCAGCTCATTGGCTGGTGAGTAGATGCCCAGCAGATGATTTCACAAAACTTTACGCAATGGTGTAACTCCACTCGAGCCATAGTTTATTGCATCAGTTGCGCAACATTCACGCGTACATCATTTCACAAAAGTTTTATGGGCTCCGTGCGCCAACAAAAGAGGGCGCGTTTTGACCGCTTTTGAGAGCTCCGTGGACGGGACAAACAGCGTGCGGGTACTGTATTGGTTCGCGCGCGAAGTATGCACAACTTCCTGAATGTACAAAAGCTATTAGCCACCGCGTCTTCGCGTGAGTGTCAGGCGTCGTCGGCGTGCAAATACGTTCAAATTCAACTTGCGATGGTCTCTGAGACTAGTCCCCGCCTCCAATAACTTGGGAAACATTTGATTTACGCAGTGGATGGATCAAGAACCATTCTAGGTCACCCCCAACTCTTCTTTTCTGGTCGTTGATGGGGTACTTGTGCACGGAGCCCATAGTGCGTTGGTCTGCGACTTATGTAACAAATTTTGGCATAACTTGCGCAAACATTTAGATGGCGTAAGTTGTGGTGTAGAGACTGAAAATGATTGATTTGACTGAAGTCTTGATTGTGTCGTGGACCCTGTCATTGCATAAATAAACAAGGTTGATACAAGACACTCACAGCGTTGTGTTCGAGGAAAATGAATTGCTACTTCAATCGTGACGGAATTTTTAGAGTTGCCGCATGATTCCCAAGAAAATCAGTCAACCTTTTTTTTTTCAAAATGGCGGGTGGAGGAGACTCAGCAACTGTTCGATGACCGAACAAAATTACACAAAATCAGTCGTCGAAAATGCTGTTATTATCCTCGTCCAAGATGTTTAGATTATTTCAAACGTTGCGCAGCCAAGTTTCGTGAAATCGATCGTAAGTTTATTACGCAGCTGCATTACAACTTTGTTGCATAAGTCCCACGCATGACGTAAGTTATGCACTGTTTAGCAAAATCGGCAGCTGGTTTGTAATAATAATAATAATAATCATAGTACTTAATAGTGCTGTCCATCGTATCAACAATCTCAAAGCGCTTTACAATTATTACCCCGTTCATCAGGTCATGAGACCACGCGGCAGCCGATATCAGCGCTCAATCGGTCTTCGACCCTCACGGGTACCCATTTATACTCCTGGGTGGAGAGAGGCAATTGTAGTTAAGTGTCTTACCCAAGGACACAAACACCATGTTCCTGGCAGGATTCGAGCCCATGCACTATCATGCGTGAGTCAAACACCGTAACAACTGGACCATGGTGTTAGTAACAACTGCTAGTGACCCATTTCCCCTGGGGACACACGTTGGACTTGAATTAACCAAGTTTCTTGTCTGATTTCTGTCATGTCCATACAGGAAGTCTCCTGACTCATCAGGCCCAGGAGGTGTACCTCAAGTCCGAGTCGGACTGGAGCGTGACCACGGGATCCACCACCAAACTCAGCATGATAGAGCTGGCCAACCCAGGCCTGCATTTCAAGGAACCTTTCAGGGAGTTGTTCCTTGCGGCAGTCCTCATGGGCAGGTGGGTATAGACTCCGTGCACAAGTACCCCCTCGATGGTTTACAAAGGGAGAGTTTGGGGGGACCACCGGGAGGAATATTCAAATGGGCAATTCCACGGTTACTCATGTTACATTTTTGATGTACTTTTGAGTTTCCTTGGGCTGGAACTACCTTACTGAAAAGGTTTAATAACTGTTATCCCCATGGTAGATAGAGTAGACCTAGACCTACTTAAGCACCAAAGATGACATCCAGAAAACTGTGTTATGTATGATAAACAAGACGCACAAAATCAGTTACTCACGTTACAAAAATGTGACTGGTGATAACCGAAACTCAAAAGTACATCAAAAATGTTACGTGAGTAACCGTGGAAACCGTGAAACCATGCAAGGAGTCTATGCGTGTGGCCATGGGCATTGCCAGGATGGGGCAAGGGGGGGCGCTTGTCCCTCCTGGAAAAGTTTCAAAAAATGAAGAAATAGAGGTGTGAAGTCATATTTGCTTTTAATTTAATACACATTTAACAAAATGGGCGTCTGCAGGGGTGTCATTGGGGGTGGGATTGGTAAACGTCCCCCGCCCACGCTCGAAAAAATGATAAATTGAGAATATGCTGAAGAAAGTACAAGGATTTTGGGGGCCAAATGTGCTTTGCCGCCCCCCCCCCCCCCCAAAAAAAATTCCTGGCGACGTCCATGCGTGTTGCCGATTTTAATATGAGAGCAAGTGTGCGTCCTTACTTTTATGGCCCATTTAAGCACCACACAAAAATAGTTATTTTGAGCATGGAAGTAGCAGTGAAGAGTGCTCTTGGGTATATAGGGAGGTTAAATCTGAGATCATTTTTTTACTCAGTTGTCCAATATACAGTGCTCATAGGGAACAAACTTTGTAAGTAAAAAATATGCACACTTTCAGTTGCTTACAAACAGTCAAAAATATACATTTCTTAATGAGTTCAACAGATGAATCTTTGTTAATTGTGTTGCCAAATTCATCTTTTTGTTTTATGAACTTAAAAGAAAATCTTAATGTCTGATTGCTCTTGATGACTTTGCTTTCTCCTGCCAATGTATATTTAAATATTCAGGTTTTAAAATGTTGAAGTAACCCTCCCGGGGTTAAGGGGTGTGTTCCAAGTTGGAAATAAAAAAAAACAACTGAAATGAAATGAAAAGAGTAACTTCTGTCCTGAAAAGTTTGGATAATAATGTAAATGTACCATATCCACTCAAATGTCTCATATCTTTGCACCACTAACCCTGCAAAAAAAATTGGATTTTGAGGATTTTAAAACAATGTTATATTTTTCGATGTCTTACCTGTCAACAAATGTAACGTCATTCAAAGATGTCCCCTTTGGGATTGTTGAAAAGCCCTCGGTTAAAACAAAAAAAATAACATCAAAACATTTTTTTTTTTTTTTCAGAATGCAGATGGCGGAGTTTTTCTGGGAGCGCATTGAAGATTCTGTCTGTAGTGGCATTGTAGCCAGCACCATCTTGAAGGGGATGGCAACCCTATCCAAGGACCCAGATGATATTCTGCAAGCAGAGAAAGATGCAAGGTACTTTTTAAGCCGGTGTAACGGTCACAGTTATCCGGCATGCTGATTTTTCCGGAAGGCAACTTTCAGTAAATTACGTATGAAGCTGCACAATGATGTGCTACGTTGCCAAGCTTTGTGTTGTGTGCGGAGATCCTCTCTTGCATGTGTACATGTGTGTATTACTGCTGGGTGAGTTACTCGAGTACTCATGAGTAGTTTATGCTACTCATTCTACTCATGGTTTTTCATCTACTCAAGTATTCGTCCTGGCACAAGTAGAGGCAGGAACTCGCGAGTAGCAATTTAGGGTTTAGGGTTCACGGCTTAATACACCCCCTGCAAACAGGGAATCACTCCCTCCATCTCTCTCTCCCTAGGATTCCATTTCATTTCCTTACACACCATTTGCTTGCAAGTTACTTAATGTCATGCTAACGTACATCTCATTTTCTGCTTTTATGGGAATTTGGTTAACTGTACTCCCGCGTACTCGACTACTTTTGGGTCGGGTTGGGTCGGATTAGAGGAGTTCAGATCGGTTTCGGTTCCGATTCGGTTTATATCTATAACGTTTCGACTCGTAATATGCCTGGTCAACCCGACTCGATGCACATCATTCATTCATTCATTCATTCTTTATTATTATTTTACCACATCTCATTGTGATCACATTACGTGACAAGGCATAAATACATAGTTTTAAATATTAAGGAATTAATACTGGTTTTACAAAATATATTTATACACTTGAGCGCATTATTTTCAATTTAGAGATGATGGAAGGGGATCATTACCTGTGTATAAACAAAAAGCATAACAAAATCCCACATTGAGATTATTATTAAAAAGTTGACATTGAAACAACACCGTAGATATTCATGTTTGATATCATATCACATAGACTTTCTCAGTGTGATGCAATGATTGCATTAATATCGAACAGATCATCACTCTTGTTTCTTTTCTGTGCCGTATTTAAGATACTTTGAGCAGCTAGCCGTTAACGTGATAGACGAGTGCTACAGAACGGATGAGATTTTAGCCGAGAGGTTGATACGGTGTCCCAACAAGCACTGGGGCGGGAAGAGTGTCCTGACGATGGCTGCTGAGTCTGATAGCAAGGTACAGAAGAAAGGAATTAGGCCAGGGTGTCCAAAGAGTTGCGAAACGAGTTTTAAGGATGAGATTGGACATGTTAGGGAGCTGGTAATATAATGACGTTGACCCATTCTTCCTCTTTCAAGAACTGTCTTGTGTGTGAGACGGCCAGATCCCTCTGGAATGGTAATCCTTGCAGCATCGTGTGCCAAGGAAAACGACGTTAGCAGCCCAGGCTTGCAACAAAAAAAACCACTTTTGGAGATAATCGAGTTGATAGTTTTTGTGCTCCCATTTCTAATTAAAAATCACATAAGGCTGAAATTTTGACTTGTGAAATTTGTTAATAATTGAAATAATATTTGGCATTTTTGTTTCAAAGTATTTCTTAATTTTGAAGTTTATTGCATCTTCATGCTAACTACCTTTTACCGGGAACCTGCCATAGCATGCACTTAAGCAGCATGTTATTCATAACGTCCTTTTGTCGGGAACAAGCTTGGCTTTGTGTACCAACTTCATTGGGACGTTAGCACACACTTGGATCGTTTTTTGTTACATTAGTATTACACGCTAACGTCCGTTTGCCAGGGAAAAATACTGAAAAACCCCCTTCGGTCTTTTTCATACTGTTAATTACATCAGCAAGATGTAACGCCCAAGACAAAATGTATATCAAATGAAAGATATTTCAGTGCACCATGGTTGAGCAGCTCTTTGGCTAGATGGCCAAGTCACTGGATTTTCATAGATTACTGAAAGTTGTAGAAAATATTTCATGGATTGCAACCTGTTGTAAAAATCTGTTAAAAATTGGCTTGTTTTACAAACAGAGATATTCCGGCTATGTTAGTGAAATTCCAAAAACCATAGTCAACGTCTTCATTGTGAACTTACACATATAGTCAGCTTTCTTGTTTGGTTTATGCCCATCTCACAGGCCAAATTTTGTTTTTGATTTTATTCCCCCTCCCCCCTTCCTCGGTCTTGGCAGACCTTTATTGCTCACTCCTGTGCACAAAGCGTCGTCAAGAAGTCTTGGCTGGGCGGTATGCGCACCAGCGCCTTGGCCGTGGGCCTGGCCATCCTCTGCCCCCTCTTCATCTTCAGGATCAAGTTTGTCGACTTGGAGTACCCTCGGAAGGGCCGCCCCAGCCGATACAAGAAGATGAGCCTGTTCTACAACTCGCCCATCACCAAGTTTGGCACATTTGTGGTAGGTAGTAAAATCTGGAATGGCCTGTTATGTTCTCAGCTATTCATTTTGGGGTGGAAAAGTGTACTTAAAAAAATTTGAAAATTAACTCTTTCAGTGCCCGCGAAATTTGAAAAGTTTAATCCTAAAGTGCCCAAGTTAGAGCGTTTTTTTCTAATTGTTCAAAATTCTTTTAAAAAAAAAGTAAATAAGTTTTACTCACTAAATTTTTTGTTGTTGCTCTCTGGTATATCCTTGGTACATTGGAAAGTCAATAGTAGTCACATACATAGTGATTCACTCTGAAACACTGTCCTGCACACAGGGGAATTCCCCACTTTTTGCAGAAAATACGAGTGTCAGTGCTGCACCCTCTCGCAAGAACTCGAATGAAACAGATAATTACTGGTGGTACCTGAATGAAAACCCCTTTTTTTGTTTCGCTATCCACTTTTTTAATTCAGCTGTCCTACGTAGCATTCTTGCTGCTCTACAGCTATGTCATGCTGGCGACCTTTGACCCCTCTCCCTCCATCGCTGAGTGCGTTTTGTTTGGCTGGATATTCACCATGATCATCGAGGAAGTACGACAGGTTGGTATAGAACTTTAGCCTTTAAAGGGAATGTGCAACAATTGTTTTTTTCTGTAATTTTCAGAAATGGATGGATTTGGGTGGTTAGTATTTTATAGCAAATATTGGTTCACTGACTTGTTTGAAGTTTTGTGTTTGCAGAAAATGGCTGCCGCCGGATTTGTCTATACCCGATACAATGTCCGGAACTCGTCCCGGATATGAAGAAAGACGGGCCTGACGGGTTAAATAGTGAATTTACAAATAGATAACTGCAATAACGGATTGCTGTATACTTCCCATCTCTCAAACTTGTCATGTGATCTATCATAAATTTTCTTTGCAACATTTGGGCTCCATGCCATGTCCCATGGGGGTACTTGGTTGTCCACTGAATAATGTCACAACTAACTCGTTGCAAAAAAATGTGCTTGGTGGCACACCATTTTTGAATTCCCAAAATTGAGTAATACAGGTTGAGTAAAAAAAAAACGAAACCCAAATGTCGGGACTATTGTTTTATTGAAGTTCTGCGTGTAGCACTTTCAAAATCTAGGATGTGAAAGCCCAATTCATAGCTTTGTTTTAGCACAAGAATCAATCAAATCACTCATGTACTTTTCAAGTTATGGACTTTTAAACACAACCATCTGTCCACGGATCACAACAAAGTTCAGTGTTCTTTCAGCCAAACGAAAAACAAATCACATAGGGATGTGTGTATTGTTTTCGTTTTGCTGAAAGAACGCACACCGTTTTTGTGATCCGTGAACAGAACTTTAAAACGGTGGTTGTGTTAAAAATTCAGTGACTTGAAAAAGTACATGAGTGATTTGAATGATTCTTGTGCTAAAACAAAGCTTATGAATTGGGATGTCATATCCTAGATTTTGAATATGCTACATACAGAACTTCCCTAAAACAATGGTCCCAACATTTGGGTTTCGGGGTTTTTTACTCACCCTGTAGAACCAAAATCTCAAAAATATTTTTTTAAGAAACCCTTCCCCTCCCAACACTTTTTTTTTCTTCCAGTCATTCATCCCATCAGGGCATGAAACCATTAAGCAGCATTTCCGCGAGTGGTCCAAAAGTGAGTGGAACATCTTGGACACCATCTCCATCCTGGTGGCCCTGCTGGCGTTCACCCTTCACTGGTTCCCAGTAGCCATTGAGTGGTCCAAGGCCTTCTACGCCATCAACTGCTTCTTCTACTACTCCCGACTCCTGCGGCTGTTCTCGGTCAGCGAGAAGCTGGGGCCCAAGATGGTCATGATCAGGAAAATGGTACGTCTCCGTTGGCTGCTTTAATCCATCGAGTCCTCAATCCTTCACCCTTGGCTCAGTCCATTATTCGGGATCAGTCCCCTGGCCTGTTTTTAAATGTACTTGTTGAAAATCGGCCAAGCACATATTTATTCCCATTCATAAATACCTTTTGGGGTCAAAATTAGCCAAAAATTTACAAAATTCCAACGATTTTGTTCAATAATTTAATTTATTTTATTTTACACCTCTCTGGCCATGCCTATGGTATGTGCCTCGTGCGCGTAGTGCTAAAAATCTCCTAATATGGAGATTGGTGCGCACTGTGTGTACTGCGCTATGTGGTGCAGAACGCAGCGGTGTTTTATCTGCAGTTTAAAACCACCCAGGTGACGGGCTCTTGACCAATAGGAATGGGTCAACCGTCTCAGGTATTTATAAATGTGCATTTATAAAGCGCATGTATCTGCCAGTATTGGTGCTCAATGCGCTACATCATTATTACCCTGCTCATTTGGCCAATGAAGTGTTCCAAAGATAATCTCAGCTCCCTGGGGAGCATACAGCTGGATGCTCCCCAATCAGTCAATTGCATATTCATGAGCAAAAGTGTGATGTCATTTTAGGCAGAAACCTCAATGTTACTGCTGTTTCAGCACAAAAATTTGGCAGAATTTTGGATATTCTGCTGTCCTAAATTTTCTTTTCTTTGGTCATTTGTTGTTTCAATACATGGCAGTATGCCAGTGAGCACAGTTTTCTCTGAAAATGTTTTCAAAGAGCAAATTTAGGGTTCACAATTTAAACAGAAAACTCCTAAACTGAACAGTGTCTTCCTGAAATGACATCACAGCAATAGTGCCCTCATTTGTTCGGATAAGCATCCACAATTTTAAATGTTTAAAGAAAGGCACTTAATTTTCAATACGATTAACGAAAAAGGGATGTCAAATAGTTTTCATACATTTAAGAGGAGTAGGAAGTTGCACAAAATGTGTTCTTAAAAAAATATCATCTTGTAGACCCTTGAAATGAAACTCAAGCGCCTCATTCCAATTTACCTGTGCTGTCACTGTCTTGTTTTGTAGGTGTTTGAGATGGTGTTGTTCCTGTGCATCTTGCTGGTGTTCCTGCTGGGTTACGGCGTGGCCAGTAACGTCTTGCTCTACCCCCACCAGGAGTTCAGCTTGGAAGCCATCAGGAACACCGTCTACATGCCTTACTTTCAGATCTACGGGGAGCTCTTCCTTGACACCATCGTTGCTGATGGTGAGTCTCGCTGAGACAATCAATTTGGGTTCTCATCAGACCTAAAAGAACCGGTCTGAGTCGAAATCTAGGGCCCAATTTCATGACGCTGCTTAATAGTTAGCAGAAAAGTTGTGCTTACTATAACAGAAAATTGTGCTAACCGTAAAGGTAGGGTAGATCCAACCCAAAGCTGTGTGTCCTTTATCAACCTTGATAAGTTGTGCATTTACAGGCTCCACAACGATCATGATTTGCTGGTAAAATAGGTCACTTTCAATCGCTACGACAAAACTTGAAAATGATTACGCAAGTTACGCCATAATTTATTTGCGCAGGTGGCGTACTTAGTACTATAAAACTTTCTTGAAATTGTCATAACTGAAATGTGCAGCGTGAAATGTTGTGCAACTTGCGCAATAAATTGTGGTGAGAGTGGACTTGCGCCATTACATAAAGTTTCATGAAATCGGTTGCTGGCATATATATGCTGGGATTTATCACTCAGAGAGGATACAGTTTTTTTATTTCAAATTTTCAAAGAAACCACATAGGGAAAGTGATTCATCTCATGCTGTGCCAAGTACATGTAAGTACAGTCGACTCTCGTTAATCCAACTCAGAGGTACCTAGCAAAATGTTTGTTGTATCAGAATTTTTTTTTGAGAGGAGTCCCAGTCCATTCATTGTGCACATAAATGCACAGTCGGGACCAAGGCTTTATGTGTGCTATAACCAGAATTTGTATTAACAGTGTTTGTTTTAACAGTTAACGGGAGTTGACTATGTATAGCAAAGTAAAGAGCCCCAAAGTTCAAGTCTGAATCAAATTGCAAATAAAAAAATGAAAAACTTCTGAAATTCTTGGACATTTGGAAAAATGCTAACAGACAGGAGTCTCAACCCTCTCTTTCGCTAGCAAGCACTTTTCATGTCAGAAACTTGTGTGGCTATGCCTGTTTGCATGATTGCATGTGCACGCCTTGCATTCAATTAAAACATGTTCTTTTTTATGTATATGAAATTCAAATTTAAGAGTAGATTGGATACACGTTGCATGATATCACTTGTTGTCACGACCACTTCTACTTCTTGTTTGTCCGTTTCACCTCATGTAGGCCTGTCAAGCAGCTGCGATCCACAAGACACCACCTGCCCTCGCCAACATTCCCTCCTACCCATCATGCTTGGTGCTTATCTCTTGCTTGGCAACGTTTTGCTCCTGAACCTACTCATTGCCATATTTAGGTATAGAAATACATCAGTAGCCTCCTAAGGCCTTTTCACACTAGAACTTCTCAGCCCAGGTTGAACTCAACCCTGGGCAAACCCAGTGCTGCCCCAGGTGGACATTTTGATTTTTCATCCCCGCATTCGACCCTGCATTGTTTCACACTTGTTTCATGCAAACCAAGCTTGTTTCGCTCGGCTACTACTGTTTTGAACCCTGGCAAGAGTTTCAACCCTGGTTGAAAATCTCAACCCTGGTCTGGAGCAGGGTTGAGTTCAACCTTGGCGAAATCAATCTCAGGGTTGACGCAGGTTTGGAGCAGGGTTTTGAATGCATGTTTTCAACCCTGCGTCAACACCATGTCAACCCGAGATTTGTCTTGTGTGAAAAGGCCTCTTTAAACATTTCACAAACTCCGGTGTTCACATTCATCTGTCACCTTGCATGATTGTCCAATCTCTGTCAAGTTGTTTGATTGAATTTGGAACAAATGGAGCAAAGTGCTCCACTTATATGGAATGTTATTCAAAAATAGTAAACCTGAGGTAAAGGTTTTTCAAAAAAAAATAATTTTTGTTATTTTGTCCGAGGCTCAGGAACGTTTAAATAGCGTTTGAATAGGGAATCGTACTTGAGCCAAAAATACAATCGGTGCATTTTTTTTCCCTGAGAATTCATGTAGTTTGTTCACTGTTTTCAGTAGATAATTTTTGAATATTTTTGTCATTTGCTTAAGTGTTGTAACTCAAATTTTAAAACAAGGAAAGGGGAACGAACCTGTGTTCACAAGAACGGAGGCCCATCTTTCTTTCAGGCGATTGGGCGAGACTCAAGTCCATGAAATGCTGCTGTGGGGGGATTGCCAAACCTCCACAGCGAGTCTGTTACCTTCCCACATTGAATAATGCCGGTACCCATGTAACACTTGGGATGAGAGGAGTAATTGAGGTTGAGTGCTTTACTCGAGGGCACAACATGCATGGCAATGACGGGCCTCAAACCCACAAACTCGCCTCGAACCCACAAACTCACGATCATGAATCCTGTGCCCGGCGCTAGACCACACGTGCCCACAATTATTGAGTTTGATTATTTATGGTTATGAAACCAAGGATTTCACAGCTAGGCCCACATCTCAATTATAATTTATTTGAAAGCCTGAAAACTTCTGTGGGAAGGAGAAAATAAAGACATGTTATGTTTTAGTGGAAGGCGCAAGATCAATATTCTGGGGGGGGGGGGGGGATCAGGCAATCACTGAAAACCTGAGTCACGTGTCAGTCCAGGTGGGATTCCAACCAAGATCACAGAGGTCGGAGGCAAGGCAAGCACCACTGTTTCCCATCTTATGTCAACAGTTTCTTTGTTTTCCGACTAGCTCAATTTTTGACGAGGTCCAGACCAACTCGCTTGAAGTCTGGAAGTTTGAGCTGTACTTCCTGATGGTGGAGTTTGAGGACCGGCCGGCCCTGCCCCCGCCCTTCATCATCTTGGAACACGCCTACCAGATCCTACGCTGGACCTGGCGGAAGATGTGCCTCAAGTGCTGCAAGAAAGACCGTCACAGAGGTAAAAGAAGTCAAGTAATTTCTCGTTAGGTGTCATCTCATTTACATATCGGGGATAAGTTAAGTGACAATGCAATACATAAGTGTCCAAAGGAAAAACACCTTGTGCCAATTTCCACTCGTAGTTCACGTTAACCACAAACATAAATTGGTAGATCTGATAGCTGTATATGTATACCTGAACTGTTGATCAAATTTGAAAACTTGTAATGTTTCATAGAATGTATTACCTCAACAAGCTCGCTTTGATCTCGGAAACTGTGTGCGAATGAATGCGTGTACACCTTATTTTGACCATTGTCTCCATAGCTGTAGGTCAAATGAAGAGGTCACCACAGACATTTTTAATGCTTGACCAAGGCCAACAAGTTGACAGCACTACTTTTGTCATTTGAGCATATTTGAAATTTGACATTATTTTAACCTTGACCCATTATGACCATTGACCCCAGTTTGGTCATGTGATATGTTGGGCCGGGGCGGGGCTACTGATACTTCTGGCAAAAAGTTTGGTTGAAGTCAGTCTACTAAGGAGCAATGGACAATGTCAACGTTTGCTACTAAACTAATAACTACCGAACGGAGAAACATAATGATTTGTTGAGCTGCTACCAGCGGCTAAAAACAGAAGGTTGGCCAGCCAATGTCAGCATTTAAGTTCTAAATGCAGTTACCCGCTAAACACTTTAAGTGCAAATAGTGCATTTCTTCCTCCGCTTAATTTAATAATTAATTTAAAAATACAACTATGGAAATTTGCCAGGCACCAACTATATGTGACGAAAGAAAATGTCAAAAAGTTTGCATTGTGAAAAATTGAATAAATTTGTTGTATGTTTTCTGCTATCAAGTGCACTATCTTAACAAGAAGACGAAGCAGGCACTGCGAGCATTTGAGAAAGAATGCGCCGCTAACTACCGACGAAGAAAGAACGAAGAGAAGAACATTCAGACCCCGGAACGTCTGAATCAGCTTGAGAGAAGGTACACTTATCATCTATGAAACTTTTTAGTTACAGATCTTTGGCCCCATGGTACAGTGTGATTTTCTCCTGACACAATCTAACACATTCTTGGTACAAAACTTTGTTTGGATTTTGTTCCACTTAATGGAGCCAGTCCCTCCCAAGCTGCCATGGTATTGGGACCTATCAACAAGATGAATCACATGCCGTCTCAAAAACTTTAACACTTGACCCAAGAGAAACTCCGAGCATGTTTCACGTCCACTTCAGTTCAGGTTTAATGCACTTGGGTTAGGTGTGCTCGGAATTTCTCTAGTCTGAATGTACCAATATTTCCCAAAGTGGATCTGACTCATCTCTTGAAAGTGGCCTCTTACGCCGCCGTGGCTTGCATGCTTGCCTCAGACAAGACTATTTGACAGTGATTCCAGCAGACTTTGATGAAGACCTTGAGGTATGCTCAGAATTTCCGCAGTAGTGCCAAAATTTCCTAAACTGGATCCGACTCATATTTTTGACAGTGCCCTCTTACGCCGCTGCGGCTTGAGTGCACTTGCCTCAGACAGGACTTTATTTAACAGTAATTCCAGCAGACTGAAAGACCTTGAGGTATGCTCAGAATTTCTCCAGTAGTGCCAAAATTTCCAAAAGTGGATCCGACTCATCTTTTTGACAGTGCCCTCTTACGCTGCCTCGGCTTGAGCGCGCTTGCCTCAGACAGGACTTTATTTAACAGTAATTCCAGCAGACTGAAAGACCTTGAGGTATGCTCAGAATTTCTCCAGTAGTGCCAAAATTTCCCAAACTGGATCCGACTCATATTTTTTAAAGTGCCCTCTTGCGCCGCCGCGGCTTGAGCGCGCTTGCCTCAGACAGGACTAAAGTTGACAGTAATTCCAGCAGACTGAAAGACCTTGAGGTATGCTCAAAATTTTTCCAGTAGTGCCAAAATTTCCAAAATTGGATCCGACTCATCTTTTTGACAGTGCCCTCTTACGCCGCTGCGGCTTGAGCACGCTTGCCTCAGACAGGACTTTATTTAACAGTAATTCCAGCAGACTGAAAGACCTTGAGGTATACTCAGAATTTCTCCAGTAGTGCCAAAATTTCCAAAAGTGGATCCGACTCATATTTTTGAAAGTGCCCTCTTGCGCTGCCGCGGCTTGAGTGCGCTCGCCTCGACCTGCCTGCTGAAAATAATATCCAATCCAGTCTTGGACTAAGACTATTATTTGACAATGTTTCCGGCAGACTGAAAGACCTGGACAGACAGGCAGAGAGGACCAAGGAAGACCTTCAGAAGAGACTGCAGCAGATCCAGCAACATCTGGAAGACCTCCACATCTCCAACCCTACACCAGCCCCGGGAAACTCCAGCGGTGCTAAAAAAGGACGGGGTATGTTAAGTTGACAATTGTGCAACCCGAGTTATGCTCTTCACGAAATAAATGTTATAAATACAGAGGTACGGTCGGTGCTGTCCAATAGTGAATACAACTTCACAAACTTGGTGTCATTTCTTCCTCACATGACGGTGAAAGCGAAATAAATTTTGTGATATCAACAAAGGTTGTTTTACTCTTATTCCCACAGTATCTAAATTTGATCTTAATTTTGCCTGGTGTATAAACATGCTTACCGTCAAGCTCGACTCCAACTCGACACCTCTTTAAAATGCATGTAGTGCCACAGTCTTACTACATATATAACTTAAAAAGATAATAGTCACTGTGGGGCTCGAAACCACCCTGCCTATTACTCACTGTAGTGCCCAAAACGTCCCAAGCACTCTGTGGTATTATTAATTCTTCAGTAAATAAACACAATGTAATACAATGTATTACATTGTGTTACATTGTTTAATGTAATACATTGTATTTATTCTTCAGTGAATAAACACAATGTAATACAACCTAGTGCAAGTTCTATTAGGTTAACCCATTAATAGTAATAGTCAGTGACTAAAGGGCTAAATAACAATTGTATATGTGTGATACCACCCGCAATATCGAAAGATGAATGAAGACTTATAGGATACTGTATGTAGGAAAACGACCATGAAATTGAGAAAAAAAGTTCAATGACTCACCGTATTAGGAATCCTGTCAACTCATTTCAACAGGTGCCCTAACCCCAATCTCGGAAGAGGCAGAAGCAGGAAATGACCGTGACCAATCGCAGCCATTAAGCCAGTCCGATACCGCCGAGGCCAGGCGCTACTCTGGCACCCGCCAGCTCATGATGGACCTGGAGAGGCAGCGCAGCGTCAGTGCCTTCTCGCTGCAACCTGAAGACATCAAGCAGCGAGAAATGTCCCTACTTTGCCAACTGAACGAGGAGATGGTCCAAACGGCGCCCTCGGCCTTCCACTTGGGGTTGGTGGAGGGCAGCGAGAGTGAGAGCTCCAAGCAGGGCAGGAGCAAGAGATTCACCAATTGGAAGGCTGAGGCGCAACCAGACTTGGAGGAGAACTGGTCCCTGTCCAAAGGACAACGGTAGAAGTAACCATCATCGCACTTCGTCCCTGTAGTCTTAGCAGAGCTTGTCAAGGCAGAAGTAGAACTACCTTGGCACTTATTGGGGGAGTGAACCAATGGCATAGGATATTAAAAACAGTGTGAACACCATTTTACTTCGGGCTGCGCCATTCAGATTTGTGCACAGATTAAAATATGTACTTGCAAATGTCCGCTTTTCAGGTTCATTCCGAGAAGCTTTTCATGTTTATTCCAAGAGGTATGTTAAGTTTGCATTAAGTGGGTCACGGACGATCAAAACATTTGTAATCAACTTTGGGGTGATAAAAATATTGTGAATATAAAGTCAGTAAGGTTTTTTTTTTTTTTGCACTGCCAAACAAAAAAGTATTCAGGAATGAAAATCTTCCTGTTTAAACAGGAATTCCTGTTTTTTGTTGCCCAGATTTCCGCATTAAGCCTGTTTTTTGGGGGTGGCCTAATTGCACATATTTTTTCCTGTTCTTTGCACAAGCTTTTTGTTTTTTCATTGAAATTGTTTCTCGTACCTGAGTATTTGGAAAACAAATATGGCTTTGAAAAAGTTTTTTTTGTAAATTGATGAAATAGAGGTTTTTAAAATTGATGCTCAGTGGTGCATTTTCCTGTATCTTTAAAGCGGTAACACTTTTTAAAAATAAAACTGGAAGCAATAAATGAAAAAAACCAAGGCCTAATTTCATTACCCTGCTAACCACAGAATTCCGGGCTTACACACACCATGTTCTGCTAACAGCGCTAGCAGTAAATTCTGTGCTAACTCAGTAAGCACAGAATCCTTGAGGCACAAGATGTATGCATGTGCAGAAGTAGAAATTCCTCGCTAACCCATGAAATGCTTACCGTAAGCACAGAATTGTCTACTACAGTAAGCAGGGATTTTTCGCTAACGGTAAGCAGGGTTATGAAATTGGGCCCAGTAAGTGGTTGACGAGCTCTGAAATAGGTACCATGAACTACATGTATATGGGAAGGATTAGCAAATATGGTATTAACGATGTCAACACACATCCCATTCATGTTTGTTTAGTCCACGTTACCATGTACATTGTACGATAGCTTTGAGATGTGTAGTATACTCTTTTTATATCCATTTTATATCTGTTGCAATTCCATAAATCAAAAGAATTATGCAATATTCCACTAGTAGGGTACAGCAATACATTTGTACAATCATGTTCTTCCTGGAATTTATGCCATTGTGTATTTTATCACAAAGCATTTTTAGACAGTGTTACATTGATGGAGGCATTGTTTCTGCAATAATGTTAAAATAATTGGTCTTTTATAGCGACAATATTTTTTTATTAATGTCTGAAATAATCTCAGGAAGGAACATTGCATTTTTAACATATTTACTTTAATTCAACAGAGCACCGGAGCGGCAATCCGGAGGTCACAACTTCAAACCCAGCTCCAGTCAATTTCTTTGTTCAACTTTAAAAAAAAATAATCTTTATTTTTGTTAACAAACTGGTTAACGGTTAAAGCATCTTCTGTGTATCGAGGGATTCCACTTCATGGTTATTTAAAAAGATCGTAGTCTTTCTTATAGGTGGATGATGATGCTTGATTATTGTAGCTGTGGCCTTATCTAAACGTATGGCTTCCATATTGCCAGTTGCCTTTTTGCCAGGGAAAAGTTGGTATATTGTATATATTTTTTTACATGCCTCCTTACCGTATTTTTTGTACATCTTGTTTTTAAGCATTGAGGAAGTTTTTAAGAAGTTATTGAGTGTTTCTAAAAACTTAAATTTTTATATCTAAAACTGGTCTGATTATAGGCTGTGCATTTTATTGCACACAAACAGAACTGTCTTGTGCTTTGAATTATTATATTCCAAGCCCAACTTATTTTTAACAACATTTTGCCGCCATTTGCAAGAGAAACTCGCAGTCTACTTGGCTTCAATTTTATGTTGCCGAAACTAGAGTATTTAATCTCAGGATGTTCGTATTTTGCACATAATCTATTTTGCAGAAGATTTGTAAAAAAAAACATTCCCATTGAAGAAACATACATGTATATTGTTATACCTCTGTCTTGAATACTGTATTTTAATACTGTATTTTCATTGGCCTAGATTGATCAAGTGTTAAGTTTATAAACAGTCATGGCACATTCCCTCCATGTGCCATGACATTTTACGTACGTACGGTACGCACGGTGTGAAACGCTTGTATCGTTGGTACCCACGCTAGTTTCACCCTGTTTTCACACATGAGTGGGAGCAGCGAATTAGCAGACGATCAGCGTTTCGAGAACGAACGTGACATGCATGTGAGTTGACGTTCGATTCAATGTCATGATTGTTATGTTTACCGCTGTTTATTTTCGTGATTTTTACCTCAAAATCCAAAGAATCCAAGACAGAGGTATAACAAAAAAATTGTTGACTGCTGTGATGTGGGATATGTCGTTTTGAACACCCATAGGGGCACATATTCGCCTCGGATGCTTTGCGCCCCTCGAGTGTTCAAAACGTCATATTCCACATCACAGCAGTCCACAATTGTTAAATATCTGAATATGTCTACTTTTCTGCTCGTTTTACAGTCGAATTTTTTATTTGTGTATTTTTGTGCAAACGGTAAACCTTTTTTGTATAAGAGGAGTTTAAATCACGGCCGTGTGTTGCAGTGCCTGCACTGAGTCGTAGATTCAGTAATAACATGTTTTATTACTTGACACTTTCGCCCCTGAATAAAATACATTTATCCCAAGCCAACAAAACTAGATCCGTCATTATACTTTCGGTTGTTGTGTAGTTATGGGCCCTAATCGTATACCATGTACATATGTATACGAGAACAAAAATCTAGTACTTTTAGGTTATTGGACTTGGCCAACTAGTTATACCGACATTTAATTAAACCAACGGGAGTGTTGTGGACAGAGGCCAAGGTTTTGATTTTTGAGGGCAATTTGGGGTATAACGACGACGAAGACAATACAACACGAAAATAAACTTATGGCGATCCCCGCGCGCGACGCACCGCGAATGCGCAAACTACCGCGTTGGATCGCACGATATGACACCGTCACTGAAACGCCGAAGAAAATCGCATTTTCTGCCGAAAGATACTGTTCAAAATTACTGTACAAAAAATGGAGTCATTGGGATTGAAAGAACCCATATAATAGCTGCAGAAGTCATTTTGGAATTATAGAAACGTTAATAAGGACTATAACAAAAGAGGGGCGCGTAACTACACAATCGCCTTTGGCCTATTTTGGCTACTTTTAGAGGCAGGAGTGACTGGTGCCCAACCAGATTGGTCTATGAGCAAGATTAGTACGAATGAAAACGCCAGATGGTGCTGAACCGTACACACAAATTAGCCGAGGTTTCATGCAGGTATTTTATTGCATACAATTTTAAACTACTTTTGCATGCAACACTTGACTCATGTCATATATAATTCCACTATTAATAGTTCACTGGTAGGCTTGTCCTACTCGTAGCCCTGTCCAAAGTGTTGGTCAGGCCAACCTCTTATTTCTCTGAGTTTTTTTTCCTTTGAGAAATAACCCTTAACCTGAAACCGTCCAGCGCTAATTCTTCTTTAACCTCTTACTGGAGTGAGTTTGTTGACTCAGTGCAGTGACCCAGTTGTTCATTAAAAAAAAGAATAACATGATTAATGGTCACCACACAGCGTCTTTGGATAGGTTGGTGAATACCAGCGGGACACCCCCCCCCCCCCCCCCCCCCCCCACCCCCGCCACCACACCCACCTCTCAGTAGAAACATGTGACCGTTTCAACTCTGGGTGGCAGCAGACAGACCGGGAAAACTACTCGCGTGCAAGACGCATAATGCATGCCATGGCTGTTGCTACGGCCTTCATTGAAGAATTCCTCAAAGTAGCACCATGACGACTTTCTCAACTGGGCCTCAAAAACCGTTATCGATACCTGGTGTTTATGCCTACATACTTGCAGATTTGCATAAACGACTGAGAGATTATCACCAAACTGGTTAACAGATGGACCGAACTGAGCTAGCTATAGGCCTGTACGGCGACGTTAGTTGGCCAATTCAGTTTTGCCTCTTCGGCTCGGCTGCATTAGATTAGTACTACGTATGATACGACGTTTGATGAAACCCTTATGAGGAACATGAAACATACAGTCGTTTGAGGTGGATAAGCGCAACGGAACGAGGTCCGCTTCCCAGGGTGAGTGAATGTATTAAAACTACTTTTGTATGCGGCACTGTTTCTAATGAATGGGAGGTATGTTTGCGCGGTAACACTATGTGAATGATATCTCTCTTTGAGTTGCGTCGTTCTGAAAAGAACCAGTTGGTTTATTTCGACGTTTTGAGGATTATCGCCACCACATGTCACGAACACAACATGCTTAATTCAAAATTCTGTGTGTACTAGGTTTGTTAGGGTATAGATATTTGCAAAAAAATGTGAATAATGTTTGGGAGTCATCATGACGTCATCGAAAATGCACCTTTTTTTAAACACTGTCAAGGTAGGTCCGATCGTCATGAAACTTGTGTGTGTGGCAAGGTATATTGTATGCAAAATTCGAAGTGACCTCAAGATGACGTCATGAACTGATTTTTAATAAATGTTTAAATTTGTATGTACTTATTTGGTTTCTAACAAAATGTTACATAATATCATTTACATGCACTGCACATCGCCATAAAAAGCATAAGCTAAAAAAAATTTACAAAGCAATTAAAACTCATAAAAAAAGCAATTACATTCACAATGGGGAAAGGCCCTATATGTTCTGTTCAACAGACAAAGACCAGTTTTAATAAGCCTCTGTACTGATGACGTCACACTTTGTTTACGTGTGTGCTTTCCTATGGTGCTCAGTGGACCGTGGGCCCCCACTGGCTCCATAGGAAAGTGCACATGTAAACACAGTGTGACGTCATCAGTACAGAGGCTTATTGGCATTATGATGAAGAGGGTCTGACGAGGACACTAGAAAAGTGACGAGCAAATTTTCGTCACGAGGCCTCGGTTTCTTAGTTGGCAACAAAATATATAGTCATGTCACAATATATATATATATATAGTCATGTCCCTGAGCAACGCCCGTGCGCTGCACGCGCACAGACGTCATCAAGATGATGACGTCTTGAAGTCAAGTAGTGCAACAATTCAAATGAATTGAAACAAAGGCCTCTGTGTTTGAATACATTTCTGCTTATCGATGACATTTCGAGAGAAAACAATTAGGATGTTGTTTGATGATGACATACATTGTGGACAAATCCCCAAGTGATTGTCAACATACGATTTAATTAAGCATTGAGGAAAAAAGCCCCAAAGGCAACTGCCGAAATAACGGCCAGATTGAAGGCCAAGGCGGCCCCAGCGTTACAATAATCCGTGTCACAGCAGCAGACGGTACCCCCACTCCCGGCGTCCGAGAAGCATCCGTGTGTTGCCGGGCACTTACTGTCGTCAAAACACGTCCTGCTGATCGAATCGGGGCCAATCGCTTTCTGCAAAGTACGAAAATGAAAGTGGTTTCGCTTTGTTTGGGCCTTGACTTCTTGAGGGATCTGGGGCATGGGAACTACAGAAACTGTGAAAAGTAGAGTAAAGTCTGTCACGAGCGAATGTGGCCCACCAGGCCGGTGTAGCATGAATTTAGGTTTTATGAAATACGGACTCATTGGTGGTATTGCGCAAGCTCATGCATAGATAATTAGGAGAGGGACCGGTCACGTTAGAGGGTTTAACCAATAAAAGGGGAAAAGAGTCCGATTTTCATACGAGTCCGATGTTCATATGACACCGGCGTTTATCTCCGGTTTCATTTGTATGAAACGACTGAGAATAGTTCTACTCCCCCTGGATAGGATGCTAGTCCATTACCGGTTATACTCCCCAGCTAAAAATACTCCAGATGGGTAGAGAGGCGAGTGGGGATGAAGTGGCTTGCCCAAGTTCACAATATGTGGCCAGCGGCGGGTTCAAGCCCATATGACTCTCTGATCGTGAGTCACGAACCCTAAGCCACACTCCCCCTACTATACAGAAATGTATTAAACATTGTTTTAGGCAAAAACAGTTCAGCAGTGGCTTGTATGTGAATGGTGTCAGATGATTTGTGTAAAGAAAAATGTAATTCTTGCAGTCCCAAATTGAGCCCACCCACTATGGGGGTCGTTCCCCCCCCCCCCGAAAAGCCCCCCCCCCCCAAAAAAAAATTAAATAAATAAATAAATAAGACAATGACAAAAAAAGACGAGGGGGAATTAATTGAATATACATGTATATATAACAACATGGATGGTTTTTAACAAAACGTCGAGTGATGTCTAGCACCCCTCTCGATTGGATGGATTGGTTGATTCAAGGTACCTACTTATTTCGTATGCAAAACAAAGTGACATCATAACGTCTCATCTTGTGAATTTGTTTCTGTTCTCTTAGGTTTTTTTGTTGAACCCAAATCGCACTGACTTTGTACACATTGTTTTTTTCTAGACTGGAATTTACGAATGATTTGTGTGCACATAACATCAACAAAGACATGCAGGGTTCATTCTCTACATTTTGGGTCCATTTTTTTTGTCCCTGTTACATCTGACATAAGATTTGTAAGTTCGTAACCCATTTTTGAATGCCTTCTACCCCAAGAGTGATTATGTAATGCCAAGTACCTGCTAAACAAAAACAAAATAGTTTGAAGTCAATTTTCAATGATATTTCCGTGTCAATGACACGGAAAGCTCTACCTTAATCGTAAAAAAATGACTTTACCATGCATGTGTTATACTGGCTGATCCCAGCTCTGGCAGTGGCCTCCGGTGCGATCCGGGAAAGGTTGGCACAGTCCATCATGAGGATGAAGGGATGAGTGGGCGGAGTGTCGAAAGGATCCCGGCACCCGGGCGTGTTAGTGGAATGACCTACTGCCCCATCTGTGCACGTGTAACACTTCAGACTGGTTGCGTAACCTGTCATCAACGATTGTTATTTTAAGTGAAAGACTATAAGTTGATGCTACCCAATTATATGTAAAGTTTATACAGTTACTCGAAACTAGCACGGGAAACGCAACTCTAAAGGGAATGTACAACATTTGCTTTTGCTGCAATTTTTAGAAATAAATGGATTTGGAGGATTAGTAGTTATATGTAGCAAATATTGTTAAACTGACTTGTTTCACGTTTTGGGCTTGTAGATGCTGGAAAAACCAACAAAAAACAATCATGTTCTTGTAGTCTGGTTGCCTGACCCCACTTAAGATGAAACAGAGAAATGTATAGACTCTTGGGAATTATAAGGTCAGAGAATCAGTCTGGCAGACTTGTACCCCTTCACAGGTGTGTAATCAATTGCAAAGAACATACTGTTATGAAAAACTGTTATGAAAACTTCGGAGCGGTTTTTGAAAAAAAGCCAATTTTCTCCAACGCTGGTCGGCCGGTGTTTGCATATGTTGTATCTTCCCTTTAAAATGATCAATAAAATTGACTTACCAATGAAGGCCAGGATGAGAGCAGCCCTCGTGTAAAACTTCATCTCGGCTCTTTGTCTTTGAACACAACACAGCTATACGGAATTCTGCATGGGTGAAAAAGAGTACACGGAAATATAATCATGGAACTAACCATTTATAATGAAAGCTTTTTAAAACGCGCAACTTTAAGACATGTATACCACTTCAAGTTAGTACAGATGAAATCATTATATTTAATTGAATAATACTCTTTGAGATGTTTTATCAAGAGCTTCCTTAAAAAACTAGTGATTTTTTTTCATAAAGGGAATGTACATCATTGGCTTTTGCTTTAATTTCAGAAATGAAGTATTTGAGGGGTTAGTACAATAGATCAAATATTGTTACACTGACATGTTTGAAGTTTTGTGTTCAAAAATGCTGGAAAAACCAAAAAAAAAAAAAAATGTTCATGTAGTCTGGTTCCCTGACTCCACTAAAGATGAAATGGATCAATTTATAGATGCCGGAAAATTGTAAGGTAAGGGAACCAGTCTAGCTGGCCTGCACCCGTTCATGAACAAGTAACCATTAGCAAACAAAATTTGGACTGAAAAAATGGTAAATTTGGAGCAGATGTTGAAAAATAGTTTTTTCTTAACCTTAAATAGGTTTTTCCAACGGTGATCGGCCGACCACTGTCGAAAATTTATACAAAATACCACATTTCTTGAAAATGACTTCACACCAGGTGCCATGATTTCACAGGATGCTTTAGACTGTCATTTACCAACATCTCAGTAAGGTAATATCGTAAAAATTTGTTAGTTTTGTTTTTCGATGTATACAAATGTTGTCAGTAGGAAACGAATTGACAAGTTTTGGAATTGTATGACGATAATTGGATGAAGCGACATCAACTCTGGCTATTCAATAATGAATGAGACTATTTTGTCTTGTGGAGAGAGAATGGAATTCTGGGTTCGAGGGAAAACATCTGGATGACTTAAATTTTCTAGAAGCAAATAATAAAGATAATCAAAATAATGAATTACAATTTGCACATTATACATATTTTACAATTTAAGAATTGTATGTCTAGAACAGAGAGGTGTTGTATGAGCATTGTATACGTGGCATGACAGTCATTTCGAATAAATGTTTGATACAATAACTTTAATCATGCCACCTAAGGCCAAAATACCATAATTTAAGTGTGAGTAAACCAAGGTATTATAAATGACAAGCTCTCTGTCTCAAAATTTGCTTGGTCCTCTTAATAATATAGTTTACTTTGTGGTATTGTAAGCAAAGGGAATAGGTTTAAGTGTGGTACAACAATTGGGCATACCACTGACATATATCAAAAACAACAATGGACCAAAAATTGAGCCCTGAGGTACACCACAGTAGATTTCACGGCAGCAAGATTTAGCACCATCTAAAGCTACACACCGTTTGCGATCTTTTAAATAACTAATAAATCAATCAAGCGCAATACCTCGTATACCATAATGTTTCATCTTCTTGTCCTGAGGTATGGGCCATTAGATCCCCACCAACACCCCTCCCCAACCCCCACTCATTTTGTGGTGAACCCAAAAAAAATCGTTGTATTCACTCAATAAGTATAAGCTATAGAATTGGAACTTTTAAAAAAATGCCAGTATAATTGACGTAAAGCGCTCATATCATACAAGGCTAGACAGAACAGAGGCGCTACAGATCCACCCCGGCATGCGTACACTGAAAAATTGCCTGGGTTAATTTTACCCAAGAAAGCGTGAAAACTGCAATTACCCAAACTTGGGTTGTTCTATAACCAATTGTTTGGGTTAGAATTTCTGTTAAATTCCACTAAAACCTGTGGTCATTCAAGACACAAGATACCTATAGGCCCTACTGGTATTGCGGACTCATGATGTTCACGTCTGCATGAAAAAGCTGCCGCGAAGTGCGTGCAAAATCATAAACAGCTAGGGTACCAACACAAATTGAAGAAAGGTTCTTGTTCTGAAGAAAGTATGGCATCCCACATATACTTAGTATAGTTTTTCTACCCTGTATTAATGCTCAAGTGTGTTTGCGGACAATAATTCTATCTTGCTAGATTACATGAAACAAATCTCACAGGGCAGTTGGTTTTAGCATCTTAACAATTTTGGTGGATATCAGTATTGGAATACCGCAGTGCGAAATAAGGAGTGCGACGGTTTTTGATGGATCTGGTTTTGTGGTTTTTGTGAAATTTTTCATTGTGCGAAACTGCTGGCTATACCGTGACGAAAACTAAAATGAAACTTAGATGCCCCGATCATTTCTGCAGCTAGTCTGCATGGCAATGGCGGATGGTGACTGTGCTATTGAAAAAACTTCAGTGCCTTAAACAAACTCAAATGCCTGCATTCTGGTACGAACCGCGGGAGTAAAGTTTAGCCGCCGTAATTGTGCCTAACAACAAACGCATGAAACTACAAAATTCGACCAGGAAAGTCTAAAGTGTACTTACAAGCTTGCAGTCTGAGCGGTAAACTCCTTGAAAGAGCTTATAGCCGGTCAGGTCACGATCACCCAAAGCACCGGGAATTGAGCATATTAAGCATATCCTGATATCCTGCACTGCACGTAGCTATAGGCGTACATCCTATGACTTAAGGGTGACCCTTTACCTTGACCTGCCCCTCCCTGTAATTATGCACTCACTTGGTGTGCTCGAGTAGCCCGCCCGGATCGAATCAGGTTAGCCCCTTGCCGTTCGATTAGCTCTGATGACGTCGTTCTCTGGGTCAGCCACCACATCCCTGCTCGTGGAGCAGCCTGAGTCAGTGGTGGGAATACGTCACGCGCATGCATTGGTTGTTCATTCCAAGAATAATAGGCCTATATATATTATGGCGGCCGGACAGCGGAAATCTCAAGTGGACTTAAAAAGTAACTTTATTTGATAATTGAAGTCTAAATTAAGGTATGTATTTTTTTACTTCATTGCGATCTAGAGGCTATGTAATTCCAGCCCAGCTTTTTTGAGTTTTGCAATTGACTGAAAAGCAGTAAATTTCAAACTATAAAAACCCAGTCCGAAAACGGGCGTTTTGTCAGTTGCTACTGCCGGCCGCGGCTACGGACATCATCGTAATGGCCCGCGGTTGAGCGTTCACGGTTCGATTAGCCCGGCTGTCGTGGCTAACCGTCAGCCTTTATCCGAGTCGATCCGGGTGAGTTACTCGAACGCACGCATTAAATGCTTGATACAGGGTCTGAACACTGCAGACGAAGCACTAACAAAAAGGGCCGCTAAGGCCAAAAAAGGTCTCCGGTTTCTGGTATGGAGCTTGCCCCAAAACTGGTGGCATATAAAAAGAGTAAGAATGTTAGATTAATAGTGAAAATACACATGTACATGTAGTGACTATAGTGGCATCTATTGTTTGTTGAGATTAATGAATAGAAATTGCCAAAGTATGATCTGTCTCTTGTATACTTTTTATTTCACAAGTCAAAATGGGAAACTTTTTGAGTTGGAAATGACAGGACGGGAAATTTGGATGGTCAACAGAAAAATCTGAGTAAACGTCAGACCATACACAGCGACATGGACATCGTGCATTTGCTGCCAGGCTGGTCTTTATAGTCTGCTAAGCGTTTACAGGTTCCAGATACACGACCATCGCTCCCTCATCTGGCTTCCAGACACACAATTACAAAATTACAACACCGTCTGCAAATGGTGCCTGACTAAATTTAGTGCAAAATATATGGGAGCCCAGAGAGGCCACTGAAGTTATGATACTAGATCGTAACCCCATCTTAAAGAAAGGTTAAAATTGTGCAACAGTTTTTGGCGGTTTTGAGACATTATCTTACATTGAAAAAAAACCAACATTTATTAGTTTTGCCGACACGCATGGCTACGGCGATGCGCGCGCAGACCAGAAGCCGGAGACCATGTTTGGCCTAATGGTATTAGGAAATGCTTTATTGATCACGTCCCTAGGGGACTAGCTATGCCTCATCGGAGCGATATGAGTCATTATCATACCCTGTCTTAGTTTAAAAGGGTCGGGAAATACACTTTGTGCATATAATTATATACAAGTCTTTAAAACAAACATAATGGGGCACCCAAATTAATTAAGTATATAGCCCTATTCTGAAAATGCCTAGTCTTGTTCCCTGACCTGACAATTTCCCCCGACGCCCGGACGTCTAAATTGAAGGTCAGGCAACCGTAGGGGCTACAAACAAACATGACCGTAACGGCAGACGAACAGTGACGAACGAAGTTAACAACAATGGTGGTCGTAGCAGACTGAATAGTGATTCACTGAACCCCTTGGCACATCTCCCAGGAACACATCAAGTAGTACCAGCGTAACTACAACCTCGTACCCGAGGTCACACTAATACAACGCGGTGGAAACGACACTTTCAACTGCGGGAAAGATCCAAGTAATTGCCCCGTGGGGTACATCACTCATGTACCATGGCCTACATCGCTCATGCGTTTTTGTGGCATGTCAATTGATCCACTCTCGACAAATAAAAATTCACAATCTATTACTGTGGTATGACAAACAGCAATATACAGTTTTGATATTTCTGTTATTTTTGTAAGAAACATTGACTATTATGTTGACCTGGAATTTTCACAGTTAGGGACCCAAATAGCACTGATAGCAGGCGACGCCTCTTTTACATGGTTTGGATTTGTATAAGATCAATGACGTTTTGTCTACATTTCAACTCAATTTAGTTTGTCAGATTTTTAACAACACCTCAAAAGCAAGATCCTTCTATGCTCACCTCCTGAACTGCGAGGCCAATGATGATATTTCGTACAAGAATACTTTAATTGATATACTTAAAAACGGTTTTAGCATGCATGATTATTTCTCGTTGCTGAAATGCATAATTGTCAGTTCATCATTCAGACGAAGATTCGTCTGTTTCGTTAAGATTGTGGACTGTGTCAACCATGGTAATTGTCATAGTGTTAAAACTGTTTTACATCGTAATCAATGGGCCGTATTCACGAGTCGGCCATATTAAATTGAAAGTGAGGTAAAATCTTAATTTTTGGAACTTGCGAAGAGAAATGGAAGCAAGCTTATTCCTAATTAATTCCAGTCTGCTTCAATGAATAATTTCAAATTTGTAATTAAAAATTCCGCAATGTTGAAAACCAGATTAACAAAAAGACAGTAAAATAAGGCTGCATTGTGCCTGCATAATTAGTCTGGCGCAATCCCATTGAACAGTCAACACTTAATGAAATACTTAATGAATGAACTCGACAAAAATGGCCAACACGTGAATACGGCCCATGTCCTAGTTGTGATGATCTTGGCACTCTAATCGACTGCTCATGTCGTTTTGACAGTCTCTTTTGCCGGTGTGAATGATCAGGCCGGCCGTCCTCTAGTCCTCAGGATTATCCTTTATTTCTTGGGGTCTATATTGATGAATGTCGATCACGGAAATTCCACGTAAAAGAATTAGAAGACAATATTTCCAAAAAATATTGGTATCATGAGCAGATTGAAGTATATTCTGCGAACTCTATACTATTCATTAGATCTCTCTTACCTCTCTTATGTTGTAACATTATTTGGGCCAACACTTAAAGGGTCAAATCTTGATAAATTGATTAAATTACAGAAAAGGGCAATTCGTGTAGTATGTAAAGTGCACTTTAATGAACACACCACTCCCTTATTTAGGAAACACAATTTTCTTTCTCTGGACCAAAACTCTCTTTCACAGTCTATAATTAATTGCAGGCTTCAAGTAACACATTCAGATATAAACTAAAAACATTCCTACTTAATTCTCAGAATACCTGATTCATTATTACGTTGGCTTAGCCGCTATTGATATGTTGTTTATTGTCGTGTCTACTTTGGTAAACTGTTAAATATTTAACAATATTGCTATTATTTCAAATTCTATAATTAGTGTTGTTTGTCTTGTTTTGTCTTGTATTGTTGGGCACATCCACCACTATCTACGGCTGTTTGCTGCCTCCACAGAAAGGAAATAAATGTTTTATTGAACTGAATTGATTTTAACTTATTGTTGTTATTTTTGGCATGTATTTCGTTGTATTTTTATACATATTTTAATATATTGTATTTATTATCTCCTATTATTGAGGTTTTGTTGGGAATAAAATAAACACGAAATGGAGACCACGCCGAGATTTGGTAAATCCCGGTTTATACCGTCGTCAGATTCAAAATAGTACATGACCAGCAACGCTCGCCCCTCGTACGATCTGAGGGCATAGGCCTAGTTGATGCACAAAATCGTCATTGAATTTCAAGGCTTATTTAATGCAAGCATTGAATATTAATTATCCACTTATTGTTTGACATGACAGGTAAACCTAGGCCTATATTTTACACCTGGAAATACCCGGGCGCTATCCGATAGTATTGACGAAATGCAGCAGCATTCGACAAACTTCGGACATTTTCGGAAGCGGGAGGCATTCCTCCCATTCATCAGAAATAGTCAGAATCTATATTGTATCGGTACAATTAGATTTAAACCGTCAATCAAGTAATGTATTGTCAGTAATTACTGTATACAAAGGAGTATTGTCAATATATTTATTTATAAAACTGTCAATAATTTTACTGAAGACGGATGTTAGTAGAATTTTAAAAACATTATTGGAGTTCAGTTTCTAGTTAAGTATATACATTCCCAGGGTTGGAATTGTTTTAAGACATTCCTAAACTACAAGATCTTGGTGGTATATTGTTAAAAACGGCGTTGAAAATAAATTAAGAAATGGCAGCCATTTGCAGAAAATAAATGGTCAAGAACCAGCGTGTCTACACCCACGTCTATGAGACATGATCAAAAACATATCACCGCGTGCACAAACAACTGCAATAACACTGACCGCTAGCTCAGGCACGCGTTCTCACCATAATATCACCAAGATCTTGCAGTCTTAAACCATGTCAACATGTCTCCCCAAGAAATCTGCATCTGGAAAAGACAGTGTACTTTTTTTTCTTTTTCTTTTTTCTTTTTTTGCACCACCCTAGTGTAGTATAGCCTACAGTGAAGAAATGCTGCCAAAAATATATTTCATAATCGAACGGTCCTTAATTTGGTATAAATTCAGATATATACACTCAACCAAAAAAGAAAGTCCCCCATTCCAACACTTTTTTGTCTAACTCAAAAACTACTGAGCACCTCTCGCTCAAATTACGACTAATCAGTACAGAAATTTCTTAGCAATGCAGCCATACTCTTTATTTGGCCCAAAACAGTGATAATGTGTACGAATTTATGCAATTTATGACAAATGATACCAAAAACAGTTGCACTTTCGTATACGTGCAAATTGTGGTTCACACGCACCTTGCACGTATACCAAAGTGCAACTTTTTTCGGCACCATTTGTCATAAATTGCATAATTTTGTACACATTATCATTGTTTTGGGCCAAACAAAGAGTATGGCTGGATTGCTAAGGAATTTCTGTACTGATCAGTCGTAATTTGAGGAAGATGTGCTCAGTGGTTTTTGAGTGAGCCAAATAAGAATTAAAGGGGGACTTTCTTTTTTTTGGTTGAGTGTAGTTATAGTTCGAGAAGGGCATCAGTTCACAGGGTCGACCTACGACGCGTGGTGATGAAGGCGCGAATGAAGTCCACTAGCAGAAACAAGACAGTGGCAGTCATGAACGCACTGTACATGAAGAACGTTCCGTGGAAACTCTGCGTTGCACCGTAGAGCCAACCTGCGCATAAAAGTCAAGAGAGTATATTTTGTTTAATGACATGATAAATGTTACAAGCTTACAGGGTAACAGGGTCACAAGCTCTGTGGTTTTATCATGCATAAATTGCCACAGCCTTAATTAATGTTCTAGCACAAGCACAAAGAAGTCGAACTACCGCAGTGAGGGCGAGTCAAGAAAAAAGAAACCCAAATGTCGGGACCAATATTTTAGTGAAGTTCTGCATGTAGCACATGTAGCAAAATCAAGGATATAAAAGCCCAATTCATAAGCTTTCTTTTTGTTCAAGAATCTTTCAAATCACTTATGTACTTTTTAAGTTACGGAGTTTTAAACACAACCACCGTTTTAAAGCTCTGTCAACAGATCACAAAAAAGGTGTGTGTTCTTTCAGCAAAACAAAAACAATTCACACACATCCTAATGTGATTCGTTTCGATTTGCTGAAAGAACACTGAACTTTTTTTGTGATCCGTGGACAGAACCTTAAAACGGTGGCTGTGTTTAAAATTCCGTAACTTTAAAAGTACATAAGTGATTTGAATGATTCTTGTACTACTTTCATATCCTAGATTTTGAAAGTGCTACATGCAGAACTTCACTAAAACAATGGTCCAGACATTTGGGTTTCGTGGGTTTTTTTTACTCACCCTGTACAGCACAATTAATGTAGCTGTACAGAACTATATATTCACGATAATGTGAATAAATAGTCACATTCAGTACACTCCTAATAAACCGCTTTAATTAAAGCGGTTGTGGAATGCCAAAGACATTTCCGTAATTGTTCGGGTATATGTAGCCTAAGGTGTGATGAAACAAAAACGACTATTGTTTCTGTCATGAAATGAATACAAAAGGTACTTTTGAGAGCTGTTTTTCAGGTCCTGTTTCGACCCCAACGTGCAATTTGTGTAATAGTCGTCGTTGGGGGCAGCAAACAAAACATAGTAAATCGTGACGTAATAAACAGGACTCGTTTATACTACGCTGCATAGGGAAAACGCTGCAGGAAAACGGAACGCTATTTTCTTTCTTTTTTTCATTTAACCATTGAAACGTAAGGATGCATAGAATATGCAAGATTAGGTATCAGAGGAAAGAAGAGATTCTAATCTTCCTAAATGTAGCAAACTAAGTAAATAAGTAGTTTATCCAACGCTGGTTAAATTTAACCAAATGTAACCAGCGTTGGGTAAAATGACTAATTTTAACCAACTTTTGTATACCAGATGAACAGCCAAACAGTTGGTATAAAAATACCCGACGTTGGGCAAAATGTGCCCAACGTTGGTAAGCGTTGGGCAAAATTGGACAATTATCCACAATGTTGGTTACAATTTTAACCAACTTTATTAACCAACCAAATTTTAACCAGCGTTTTGAGAGTGTAGCCCAGGTTGGACGACGTCCGTAACGTAGTGCGATCAGGGAGTCCACCTGGGCCCATATTATGTCCGTTAATGAAAACCAAATATTTATGACAATTGACATTCTCCCGGCCCGTATCAAATTCATGTCTTAAAATTTCACCAACCTGAGAGGGTGTCCCCACCGGATGTCGCCACGCCGGCCAGAAAACTCTGCCATCCCAGAACGACAACAAATCGGTCGTCTCCATAAGGCAGCCCTCTAGTTAAGACCGACGTCACCTGTATAATACTGTGAATCCCTGCCCCGATGATGCACGTGTTGGCCATATGACCGATGGGCGTGGATATGAAAGTATCAAGAGCCAAAGCCACGACGGTCATGCACCCAGCAATGGCTCCAGTTGCGTGGCACGATAGCACCTCGGTGTGCAGAACTAGAGCCGTCAAGCTCAGTCCAGCCAGGCTCCCAACACCAAACACCGTTGTCAGAAGCGCTGCTTCGCTGGGGCTGAGCCCCACTGCCAGGCCATTGGGAACCATGTAGACCAAGATCCCACCGTAACAAGCATTGGTAAATAACCGGACTGCAGCCAGAAGCAGGAAGTCCAAGCAAAGGAAGAGGTCGAGCCCTAGTGTCCCCGCTATCACCTTACTCAACTTCGCCAAACAGCGATCGGTCTGACTCGAAGAGGGTCCGTTATCAGGGCCAGGGTCTGTGCAATCATCGAGAAGCTTTGCATAGACTCTAGTTGGTCTCCTGACCAGCAAACCAGAACAAATGAGATGAAAGCTCGTCCCACCTATCAGGAGCAGCGCTCCCCGCCATCCGTAAGTTTCCAAGAGGACTTGCGTCACTGGTCCGTACAGCATCATCCCAATTGGTCCCCCAGCTAGCGCCAGAAAACTCGCCACGGCGTATTTCTCCTGAAAGTAGAAGGCTACCTCCGCACGGGTTGTCTCCAGCGTGCATGCTGCCCCAGACCCTTGCAAACAAAACAAACGGTTGTTAATTCGAAGTAAACCAGCAACACATGCAGCAAGTCTAATCAGGTTGTCAGAGTAGTATCCTCTGCATACACCAGCATTATTGGTCTCATACTTTAACTGTGCTTGTGATGGTTTGAGTATCTCCTGTTACGTATTGTTAACAGCATTTGTAGCCTGGCGAGTTAAGAGCACTGTTTGACCCAAACGCTTGCATAAATTGAGGTATCCGCGTCTTGGAATCAGCAGATCATAACGGCAAAGTACTCTGCGAGTACCATGTAGTTTTGAATTAGACAATGTATAGTAAACATACAACAACACAATTCTGCAACGATGTTGGCCATTACGATTTAGACAGGGTCTTGGAAAATGACATGACTTGGTTGATATCCCAATTCGAAAAATGAACTAATTGATGAGTACTAAGCGTAATACAATGTACTAAGGTAATTAGATAGCGGACTAACTCTATACTCACCGGCTATAAGTATAAGGAATACAGCGAAGGGGACGATATTCTGGACCACAGAGGATATCACCAGACCGAATCCATAGAGTACACCACCAAGGGTAATGACGACACGGCTTCGATATTGACATGCCGCTGCAGTTGCTAATGGTGCTAGATAAACAAAACATAATTATCATTCAATGAAGCAGTGCCACTGTTGCTGCTTCAGAAATGTATGTAAAATTACCTCTTGTTCTGAAAGTATTTGCAAATGGTAAAGTTACAGGGAATATGATCTTCCACAGTTAACAGTAGTTCAGAATGTGAGTAGTGAGGTAGAAATGGCTATGTCTTGTCAGACTGGCGGGATTTGCTTCAGCAAAATGAGTGCATGCGTGTTTGATATTTCCAGCAAATTTGTTTCTTGTATTTTGTTGTTTTTTTTCTCTCTGGATTATGACAACCAAAAGCTATGTCTGAAGAAGAGTATTCGGTCTTTTTTTATAAATGTATATATATGTATGTTTTTCCTGGTCATTGACATCAAAATAAGTAATTTTAAGTTACAGCATGACTTTGTGGGTTATGCGCCTATCAAATGTTTCCCCCCCCCCCCCCCCCCCCCCCCCCCCCCCCCCATGTAAAAAAATACACTTATACACTTATAAAAAAAAACTACCAATTATCACGAATTACCTTACTGGACTGTTAGTGAATGACAGTCTAAAGCATATCCTGTAAAATCATGGCACCTGGTGTGCTGACATTTTCAAGAAAAGTGGTATTTTTTCAAACACTGCTCCCAATTTATCATATTTTGTTAGTCCGCATTTTCTTTTGCAATCGATCACACCTGTGAACGCGGGGTACAAGCCAGCTCGACTGATTCCTTGACCTTACAATTCCCAGGCCTCTATAAATTGCTCTGTTTCATCTTACGTGGAGTTAGGAAACCAGAGTTCAAGAGCATGATGGATTTCTTGGTTTTCCAGCATCTACGAACCCAAAACGTCAAACAAGTCAGTGTAACAATATTTGCTATAAATACTAACCCCCCAAATCCATCCATTTCTGAAAATTAAAGCAAAAGCAAATGTTGTACATTGATCCCTTTAATCTCATACTTAATCTAACTTGAATAATTCACTTTAATTATTCTTATCTTTCACCTTTGCTTCTTCTTGTCATAAATCGACACCTTTTCTATTTTCCTGAGGACTCCTAACCCAGGGTGATGCTGATTGTAACAAATTGTTGTCAAGGAGTGGTCGGTTAGGCGGGGCGGGGGCGGCGAACATTTGATTTTGTCAAGCACGAAATTGCTGATGTCGTATTGCAAGCAAAATGCTGCATTGCACGTCTCCCTGCATTGTCTTCGGTGTACAGGCTTTTGTGCTATATATATTGTACTTTTAATTTGCATTTTCATGGTTATGTAACCATGTACTAAATGTGTTCGGCTATTTTGTTTTGTTTTAACTGTAATTCTTGCATGTGTGCCAGGAACAGCTCACAACTGTTGGGTGGTGCTGCACTAAACAGAATGACCAGTCCTCCGTAATGCTAAAGCAATTGTTTTGTTTTGTGGGGTTTTCCAATGGCTCAAAAAACTGAATTAAAAAAACTGAACTTAGACAATTAGCTAACAAGTAATGTTACTATCGCCAAAAACCCCGCCCTATTATACTTACTCAGAACAAATTGTACTCCGAAGTGCAGAGCGCAAATGGAGCCCACAATCCACAAATTCGTCTGGAAATCCTCCTTCATTGACGTGATGAGGACACCGAAAGCTTTCAAGCTGCCATAGACGATCAGCTCAGCCAAGAAGGCAGAAAACACGGCCACCCAGCCCCATCCACCCTCTCGGTAGCTTAAAGCGTTGGCCATTGCTGCTCGCAGTATTATCTGCTGTCAGTTTCCTAAGATATTTAAGGAAACATGAAATGACTTCACATAGGTTTGTGCAAACACCTTCACGGGGTCGTAAAACACTGAAAAAAATGTACGTACCCGCGAACCCGATCCGACTACTCAAAGTCGTCCTTTCACGTTCGTTCACGTTTGTTTTCACATCGCGTACTTGCATCGCCTGAGAACGACAATGCATAACCAATCTTACCCTTGCCAAGGCGTTGATGAGCAAAGTTAATTTGTAATTTGACGCACTCGCCCTGATCCGTTAGTGTGAATAATGGTCGGTTTTGAACAGCGCCCCCACCGACAGATGGTACCAGGCCCCCCCCCCCCCCCCCCCCCCCACCCCCATGACCGTGCTACGCTACTGTCATGTCTTCGTCATTTTACAGGTATACATCTTATCTTCGTTTATTACTAATATGCCCTAAGGCCAAAAAAAAAAGTCTCCGGTTTCTGGTGTGCGCGCGCGTCGCCGTAGCCATGCGCGTCGGCAAAATGAAAAAGTTTTTTTTCAATAAAAGATGATGTCTCAAAACCGCCAAACTCACTGGTTTCACGGGAATCATGCTGCTGCACAACGTGTTTTTAGATTGGGTTATGGTCGAGAATAAGCTATATGTGGCCTCTCTGGACTCCCATATATTTCCACTAAGTTTAGTCGGGCACCATTTGCAGTCATCAGCCGACATTTGAAGCAAAAAAATCAGGTAAAAAAAAAAAAAAAAAGCCGCGTCGCCACACCACTTTTTGGGCAAGCTCCATACCAGAAACCGGAGACTTTTTCGCGGGCCTTAGAAGACAAACGAAGGACGCTCACAGGGGGAACGGAATGATAGAAACGCGTTAAAGGGAATGAAACGAACTCCAGTGATGTGCACTGAATGAGACACAATAGCATGAATCTGGCAAAGGGACAGAGACAATGAGCATACAGGATGGAATAATACTTTATATATATATTCAGATTAATTGGTAAAAACACTACTATCCAATTAAAAGTAGTATACCAAATTTGATTAAAAACCGTCCAACAGAGTAAAAATACATTAACAACAATAATTCCCTTAATTACAATAATTCCCTGAATAATATGAAAAATCTGTGCGACAATTACATGTAGTCGTGTATATTAAAATTATTTTGAGTTGCATTATAACAGTGTGTTTATCTCAAATTTCTGAAAGATTAACGAAATACAAAGTCAATTGCAAGACTGAGCAGGAAAATATATACTAGAAAAACTGCATAGTTATATTTCTGCAGAAATTCTATTGATAGAGGATAGTCGTTGTGTTTTCCAAGCTTTTGATAGCATTTTTGAATATAACCGTTGAATGTCAATGAATCGAAAAATAAAAGTTTTGAATTTATGGGACGGAGCAGCGTTTTGTGCATTTTCACTTTGACGTAGGCCATGATGACATTTCATGCCAGATTGACTTATTCCTTAAACTTGAGCACCCTTCGTATTTCTTAGACCTCATGGGTAGACTTTATGAGTATAGCAGCCGTCTTATGGGGCATCATTTGTTATTTTAATTCAGTAACAATGAGTGCTTAAAAGGTTTATTTCTGGTATGTCACAGCAAGACAAAAGTATTGCCTTGATGACTGCTACCTAGCTATAAGGTCCATATACGCCTTTTTTTTTTAAATATTGTGGGCAAGAGAGAGCGCCTTTTTTCAGTGGGTGACCTCTCTTGTATATTCACCCCGCAAATGTATTATATTATTGTAACGTCTCTCTTGGGTGAGAGACATTATCAAATAAAGAGTCAGATACAAATATCTTACACACACACACACTAGTACTTTATTCGAGATTATTTACATCTCAGGTCAATAGAGGGCGCACTATATACAATGTAAAGTTAAGGCGTACATGATTATCTGTGTACAGACATGGGTCTATGGCCAGTGAGCGGACAGCTCGATAATCTACGTGTACATGTCAGGCACTCTGTCGGGGTCAGAGCCCAGATCAACAATCTAATGCATCATACGTGCGGGAGCTCTGTGTAGGTCAGCTCGGGAATCTAATGGGTGACAATGACCACAATTGCCATTTCTGCGCGCTTTATATACACTTTTGGGTGCGCGTCTTAGCCAATGGGAGCATTGGATTCTGGTAGTTATGAATAATGCATCCGTGTACAAAGGCATGGGGAAAGTTCTCTATGGGAGATTTGTACACGACTGACAGACATTCTAGTGGGAGAAAGTCCGAGAGCAGTGGTTAGCGGGCGAAGTAGGATCACTCGTGGGTACCTTACGGGGAACTGATCCTCAAAGGAAAAGGGAAAGGGAATAACTTCTCGGTACATAGGTTTGTGTACAAGACTTAGTCTCTACACTAGGTAAGAATCTACACACTAATGCTATGGAGTAAAACTATGAGACGACGGACGTAACCTGAGTAGGGGAGAAGGGCGGATACCAGACTTTGCCATAGGTCTGGGGGTAGTACAGGGCCAGTGGGGAGAGGGGCAGGTACCAGACTTTACCCCTCCCCCTTTCCCCACCCTCTGACCACGCCCCCACCCCCTTATCCCTCCCAATAATCTCCCTCTCCCAATGATCTCCCTCCCAAATATCTCTCTCAATATCTCAGTCTCGAAATAAGGCCAGGCCCTCTATATTTATATTTTTCATTTTTGATCTTGTGTTAAATACGACTCGTACAAGTCTACTCCAACCCTGACTTGCAAAATATGAAGTGACTCAGGGTGACCCACTTTTGCAGTTGGCGTAAACATCTATTGAAATTCAATGGACCGTGATGAATTGCTTTTGTTAGTTGGGGCAGCCAGGATATGACTCATCGCATACGTCAGAAGCAAACAATGGTTGCTATTTTTAGTTCCTATATAAGCCAGATACCCTCACAGCGGATGGCCAGTCGGATTTATAAGGCGGAGTTCAGTGGTATCTAATCATATCCAGACTCGACAGCACTGTACAACTGTATAGCTTCATTTCCGAATACGAGCAGCTAAACTACCAACAGACCAACTTTCAAAGGTAATTATAATACGCTTATAACGTGTATTTTTTATACATCAGGTGTCCAATATGTCAGGGTGATTTGTGTGTAAAAGGCGAAAACCATAGGCGTCTTTACTTGTCAGCGGCCCCGAACACGTTGTAGTTGCGTCTTTTGCAATTTAGCATGCCAGATGCGAGTAAGGATGATTAGGCCCCAAATTATTATTACTGTATGTTTGTGTGTAAAAAAATTTACTTATTAAGGCCTATTTCTCCTTTTTTTTCAGATGAACTGTCCATCTAGTGTTGTAGATGTTACATACGGGCAAGATTTCGTCACATTGGCAAACAGCATGGTCAACACGGTGGGTGAATGGATCGTGGTCAAAATAGGAGATTTGACTCAGCAGTTAAAGAATGCAAAAACCTTTTGATATATGACAAACCAAAAAGCTATTTAAATGAGCTAATTTGAATAACAAAGAAAGAGCCACTCGGAGTGGCTTTTTACTGTATATATTAAGATGCCAGAAAAGCTATTTAAATGAGCTACTTTGAATGACAACGAAAAAGCCACTCGGAGTGGCTTTTTACTGTATATATTAAGATGCCAGAAAAGCTATTTAAATGAGCTAATTTGAATAACAACGAAAAAGCCACTCGGAGTGGCTTTTTACTGTATATATTAAGATGTCATAAAAGCTATTTAAATGAGTTAATTTGAATGACTAAGAAAAAGCCACTCGGAGTGGCTTTTTACTGTATATATTAAGATGTATGAAAAGCTATTTAAATGAGCTAATTTGAATGACAACAAAAAAGCCACTCGGAGTGGCTTTTTACTGTATATATTAAGATGCCAGAAAAGCTATTTAAATGAGCTAATTTGAATAACAACGAAAAAGCCACTCGGAGTGGCTTTTTACTGTATATATTAAGATGTCATAAAAGCTATTTAAATGAGTTAATTTGAATGACAACGAAAAAGCCACTCCGAGTGGCTTTTTACTGTATATATTAAGATGTAATAAAAGCTATTTAAATGAGCTAATTTGAATGACAACAAAAAAGCCACTCGGAGTGGCTTTTTACTGTATATATTAAGATGTAATAAAAGCTATTTAAATGAGCTAATTTGAATGACAACAAAAAAGCCACTCGGAGTGGCTTTTTACTGTATATATTAAGATGTATGAAAAGCTATTTAAATGAGCTAATTTGAATGACAACAAAAAAGCCACTCGGAGTGGCTTTTTACTGTATATATTAAGATGCCAGAAAAGCTATTTAAATGAGCTAATTTGAATAACAACGAAAAAGCCACTCGGAGTGGCTTTTTACTGTATATATTAAGATGTCATAAAAGCTATTTAAATGAGTTAATTTGAATGACAACGAAAAAGCCACTCGGAGTGGCTTTTTACTGTATATATTAGGATGTATGAAAAGCTATTTAAATGAGCTAATTTGAATGACAACAAAAAAGCCACTCAGAGTGGCTTTTTACTGTATATATTAAGATGTAATAAAAGCTATTTAAATGAGCTAATTTGAATGACAACAAAAAAGCCACTCGGAGTGGCTAAGATGTAATAAAAGCTATTTAAATGAGCTAATTTGAATGACAACAAAAAAGCCACTCGGAGTGGCTTTTTACTGTATATATTAAGATGTAATAAAAGCTATTTAAATGAGCTAATTTGAATGACAACAAAAAAGCCACTCGGAGTGGCTTTTTACTGTATAAATTATAATATATGAATATCAAATAAAGAGAACGTATGAATGATAGTTTTATCGAGTCCAAGTTCAATTATAATACAAAATCAATAGAGGGCGCTAATGGATATCAAAATAATATAAACCGAGGGCGGTTATGATAAATGATCGATTTATCGAGTCCAAGTGCAATTATAATAAAAGAAATCAACAGAGGGCGCCATTCATTGGTGGTGAGGTATTATAAACAGAGGGCGGTATTTAATTTTATGATAAGGAGTTCATGTACCGATAAAAA